GAAAACATATGTATGTATGTATGTATGTATGTATGTATGTATGTATATTCGTAGATTTTCACGGGTACAGGTATGTAGGTCTAGGTGTGTTTGGGTCTTTTCCCATGTAAGATACTCTTAATCTTACACGGGAAAAGACCCAAACACACCTAGACCTACATATACACAGACACACACACACACACACAGACACAGACACACACACACACTGCATTTTTGTATTGTGTGCATGCACCACAACTATTTGGAGGACAGACCAAAAAGAGGAAGTCAGTGTGTGACAACTCTCATATCAAATTTCTTTTCACCATGAACCCTCCCTTCCTCATTCCTTTGTTTTTGTTTCACCTTCTTTCCTTCCTATTATATATGTTTAATGTTAGTGCATTGTCAGAGTGACATCCTGACACTTTCATCAGTGTGTGCCTTTTCCTTCCCTTTTTCCTTCACAACTGTTCCAGACTGATCGCATAAATCCAGATGACATAGATTTAGAAAATGAACCCTGGTATAAATTCTTTTCAGAACTGGAGTTTGGACGTCCGGTAAGTGAGGTTAGAATATATCAGTTTTAGGGATTTGGACCAATTCATACATTTTTGGTAAAAAATGCCTAGATCCTGAAAGTGTATCTATTCAGAATGGAATAATTACTGCAATTGTACTTGAAGTATATGTTTTTAATGTTGCAGTTATCATATATAAATTTCATTGGTGAGGTGAAGAGAAACCTATAGAAATGCTTAAGAATAGTCAATAAAGTGGATCCCTAATAAACTCCTTTTTACGTGTTTGCTGACAGAGCTTTTTAAATTAACAAGAAACTGATAATTATTTGGATTGAGTAATTGTTCAAGCTTTTTTACAAAAAGCTAGACAAAGGCAATTTGTATTACTAGCTTTCATTTAATTTAGATTTAACAGAATAATTATTACTATAAAGCACAAAGTTATATGGAGCAAAAACATTGAAAGAGAATAAATATTCCCTAATAGAAAAGAAACTTTTTTAAAAAATCAAGCATCAGCTCTTTGCTTTGGCTATTTTTCTAAATATAAATAGAATACACAATGCCACCTGCAGATTTTGCAGCCTCCAGAGTCATTTGGAATACAACTGCCTTCTGCTTCTGTGATGGCATTGCTGTTATGAAGTGTGAAGGAAACTATTAGCACCACAAATGTGTAAGTTTTTGATGGATGTTAATCATAAGCTGCCCAGGTTTAAGGACAAAACTGTGAAACAGCACAGCTGCTAGAAGACTAAGACAGTTTTGCATATCAGGATTTGTCCCAAACTGAACTTAGATGATCCTCAGTCCTCTGGAGGAAGCCATAAGACCAGCTTTTTTCCCCAGTAATGTCCAAAATCATGTTAGCCCAGGCTACCTTGGATTCGGAAAGTTGTGGAATTTCTTGTGATTCAAAGTCATAACACAAGAGAAGCCCTCCATCATCCTTCAGTGTTTTCCATATGTCATCAAACTATGTGAATAATACAAGAATTTCACATAAATTTAGTTTTCTTGATTTTAAAGAAAAAAAGTTCAACCAGAACAACACTAAAGAACATGAAAGCTCATTTAGAAACCCTCCCAAAAGAAATAAATACCTGGCAGATAATTGAAGAGGCATTAATGACTTTTCCCAAATTGCAATTGTCCCTTATTTCCCAAAAGCTGCTGTTTCCCATCTCACTGCAACCTGGGAAGACCAAACTAGACATTATGGTAAATTCAGCCTCTACTGGAAATCAGAGCCATGTTTTGCCTTGCACTTTTCTGTGTCCCCACTTATTACAATTCTGTCCCTGCCTCCTTCTGTTCATTTACTTTGGTTTCTGGATCTCAATGTATTTTGGGCCTAAATCTCTCTGTGAAACAATTTGCTATATTGAAGGAACTTTATTTTCTAGCAACCTAATCTTAAAGAGAGCTATTTATTACGGTTCATTCTGTGATGTGCAATACAATCCATCATATTCCAGAGTCAACATCTGTTCAGATCTAACCCAGTGAAGAAGACAATCAGAATAGCAGAACTTGGATTGTATCCATAATTTTACAGAAAGCATTAGCCTCACTGAAAACACAGCAGAGCCTCAAACAAGACCAAGTGATTATGTTCTCTCTTTTTTCTCCCATCATTCTTCCATCTTTCCCAATTTAATGCTATTGAATTTGGGAGAGTTATGTTTTACTTTAGTTTTTTACTTGCAACTTTACTAACAGTGGAAGGTTTATTAAAACGATAAGCTACTATTCACATATTCTTTACCCCAGACTGATCCTCTCATTTTGTTGCATTTTTATCACTCTTGTAATTCTGTCAGCACTCAGTTTCTAACTATGTCACCTTCTCCATGTTTCATTCCTTGCTGCCATTGATTCTTCTCCATTTCATCTCGCAATTCTACCTATATGATGCAGCCTCCTAAAAAGATTTTGGATTATGTTCAAGACAATCCTCCAGGTTTTTCCAAAGAGGTAAATTAGCATGTTTCTTCAATGGATGGTTAAAATTTGGGGACAACATAAATATTGAATTTTCTCTTATTTAAATACAGGACATTCAGTTCACCTGCATACTATCATACAAAACTCATTCCAATGATACAATTATAACTGTTTTTTCTAGTGTATTAACACACACAAATGCCCAACTACAATCCCACAAATATGAAATATCTTTCAGTAAAAATATCCTAGCAATACTTGCCTTATTTTATTTATTTACAAAATTTATATTACCATCTCATGTAATAATCCTAGGTAGCTCACAATAATCGATAAAAACAAGGATGAAAGCTAAGTCATTTATTCCCAGGCACCAAACCAAACAAACTCCAAGCTCAATCCAGCTAATCACAAGGGAACTCTTTTTAACAGAAAGAATATATCAATTGTCAGACAATTTGGGATCAACAAATCTCATTCCCATAACCATTTAACAATAAACATTGCTGCTGCACTAGCAGATGGAGGTGGGAGGAAAATAATGAATAATAGTTATTATTCTGACTTTTGGTATTTGAATCAGAAAATAAAATACAAGCTGAATAGTCAAGACCTTGTTGATGATTCAAACTCTGTCAAGGACCTTGGAGTACTCATCTCTAATGATCTAAGTGCTAGAGCCCACTGTAACTACATAGCCAAAAAGGCATTAAGAGTTGTTAACCTCATCCTACGTAGCTTTTTCTCTGGTAATATCACACTATTAACTAGAGCGTACAAAACATTTGCTAGACCAATATTTGAATATAGCTCATCAGTCTGGAACCTGCATTATGTATCTGATATTAATACAGTTGAGAAAGTCCGGAAATATTTCACAAGAAGAGTTCTCCACTCCTCTACTCATTACAGAATACCTTATGCCACCAGACTTGAAATTCTAGACCTAGAAAACCTAGAACTATGCCGCCTTCGATCCGATCTAAGTATAGTATATAAAATTATATATTGCAATGTCCTACCTGTCAATGAATACTTCAGTTTCAACCATAACAATACAAGATCACACAATAGATACAAACTCAAGGGTAAACCGCACCAAACTTGATTGCAGGAAATATAACTTCAGCAACAGAGTGGTCAATGTCTGGAATACTCTACCTGACTCTGTGGTTTCTTCTACCATACCTGTCCTATTGTTTCTTTTTATTTTTATTATATGTATCCATTTCATGTGTTCATAACTATGTTTATACTTATACCTGTTACTTATAATCATTTGACTAAATAAATAAAATAAATAAAAAACAAAATACTGCACTAGAACATTAGAAAAACATCATGTTAGGTAAACTCATTAATTGCTGTACATTTCATGTGTTGAAATCAAAGTGTATAAACTATATACAGTAATATGTTGAGAATCAGGAGAGTGAATTACTAATTCCAAAAATGCTTAATATTGGTTTAGAATTAATATAACCAGACAAAAGTTAAGAATTTTAAAGTAATAGTGAAATAAATTTACAATGGATTGTGCAAACTTTATTTCTTATTTATTGTTAATTATTTATTGTGGGTTGCTCTCCACCCTTCTCCCTGGCAAACTTGTTTGAGGTTTTTTATATTGTTATTTTTGACTTTTTAAGCCTTCCAGAATTATCCTGGGTAGTCATAGAAATAAAATCTCAATAAATACCAGTAATTCAAAAACATTGCATCTATAAAAAAAATTGCTTACCAGTAGATTCTGAACATCTAAACAAAGAAAATAGCATTTCTCAAATCTTTTTGGTTGTTGTTGTTTTTAAGTTTGGGTGCTTTGATTATTAGGAACATTGATCTTTCTAGCATCAGTTGAACATGTTCTCCTTAAAAACCTCAATATTCTTAAAGCAGCAGAAACCAAATCAATTTTCTGTAATAGTGGTACAAAATTTTCTTTTGCTTATCAAGAAGTGAAAATAAGAGATATGTTTAGTCTCCAATTGGTTTCATATACCTGTAGAATTATAAAAAAAACTTCAACATATATTTAGATAATGAAGAATCCTTAAGCCATATTGGCCTTTTTTCAACAAGTAGACTTGTAGACTATGTTCTTTAGCAGAGTTCTCCAAACTTGGCAACTTTAAGACTTGTGGAGTTCAACTCCTAGAATACTCCAGCCAGCTGTGCTGGATTCTGGGAGTTGAAGTGCACAAGTCTTAAAGTTGCCACATTTGGGGACCCCTGTTCTTTAGGGTCTCCAACTGCATGTCTGTAATTAACTAACAGAGTGAAATATGCGCCTTTATTGAGTAGTTGAGAGAATTAAGAGCAATCTTCAGAATATATCTTGTTGCTATTTCCGGTCCATTAAAATTTGCAATCTGATGATGCCAACTCTCTCTGCCTAAAGCCAATCCTTTCAACTGGGTGTCCCTCAAGCATGTATAGGAGAGATTGTCACAAAGATTTCCAAGAGGCTGGTGTTAGTACAATAGAGCAATAGGGAAAAATGATGAGGACTTTCCATTTCTGTTTCTATCTCATTTAATACAAACTTTTACCCTATGGAGTCTTCATGTAAACTGCAGTCTCCAAACAATGAAGATTTTCTACATTAACTGGCCTACTAATATGCATAATAGGCTTTTTAATAAAAGTACTAAATTGAGATTTTGTTCATGAGTTCAGTCTTCTTAAACTTTATATCTAAACTTTTTAATAGTTGATTCTGCCTTATAAAAAGTTTATTGTATATATTATATATTTCTGAAATCCCAGTCTGGCCAATGTTTACCTGAATGCTATAATTTGAATACAGGATTACATTTTTATACAGATTTCCTCAGCTTACAATCATGATTGGGACCAAAACTTCTGTTGCTAAGTGATGCAGTTATTAAGGAAGTCATCATATGACTGCATCCAATTTTAAGACCTTTTTTGCTGCAAATGTGAAGCAAATCCCCACGGTTGTGAAGCAAATCATGCAGTCATTAAATGAATCCGGTTTCCCCCACTGACTTTGCTTGTTGTAAGCCCAGGATGCTGCAACTGTTATAAGCCACCCAGGGTTGCTGTATTAGTGAGATGGGCAGCATAGAAATTTAATAAATAAAACTGGTTGCCAAATGCCTGAATTGTGATTGTGGAAATGCTATGATGGTCATATGTGTGAGGACTGGTTGCAAGTCATCTTTTTCAGAACTATCAGAATTTTGAATGATCACTAAACAAATGGTCATAGGTGGAGGACAACCTTTGTACATCTTCTATAGATACATTTGCAGAGTATTGCTGAGTAAAGTCCAAAGAATAGCTATTAGACAAAGGATACTGCCAGTTCAAGTGGCAGAGGTTACATTGCAGGCACCTAAACTTTCCTTTTTAAGATCCTTAAACTTGCCTGCTTTAGATGCAATAGTGGACATTCTCCTAACCCAAGCAAAGAAGTAACATTTGTCAGTCTACACTACTTATAGAGGTGGTTTATATATTTGATAAGCTGTACCTGGGATGGGGTTCTTCTTTTCCCAAATCCTGCTGGTTGTTCTGTACAGGTAGTCCTCCTTTTAATAGTGATAATTAGGATGAGCAGCACCATCACTAAGCTGTATGGTTGTAAAGTGACATCACATGATTGCTGCAACTTACAATGGCGTTTAGAGCAGTTGCAGTCCTTAAACAAATCATGCATGGTCTTTAGTGTGATATCTTGAGATTTCCAATTGCCACCTCCCTGCTGGATTCCCCGGTTGACTTGTTGAAACCTGACAGTGCAGGTCACAAATGATGATCATGTGAGTGTGGGATGTTGTGAGTGTTGTAACATGAGTCAGGTCCAAAGACCCAATTGCCAGATTGCAATTACATGAACGTAGGGATGCTGCAGCAGCTGCAACCACCAAGACCAGTGATAAGCCTCTTCATTTCATCATAACTTTGAAAAGTTGCTGAATGAGTGGTCATTAAACAAGGACTACGTGTAATAATATATGTGGCTATTTCCAGCTCAAGCTTTAACATCTGCTAAGATACCAGTTTAAAAAGATTTGTTATTAAATTTGAATTTATATTGACAAAAAAAGTATTTGTATTCTCAAAATAATCATTTTAATATTACTCCTGTGCCAAAACAAAATCTTTAAGTCTGGAGACCAAACTGTGTGCTTAACATGAAGTTTAAAAAGTTAACAAATGGCAATATATGCTACAAAAGTTTAAGCTGTTTACAGATAATTTCCACCTTGATTTGATTTTAATATTGTGGCAAGTAATACATTATTTTTAATTATTTTTTCATTGTTATAGTTTCTAATATTTAGTCAATATAAGGGTATCAGGTTTAATTTGAGAAACTGGCTGAAAAAAATAGATATTAGCTCCAATATTAAAAACAGCATTTGAAATTAGTTTAAAAGCTGCTTTTAATTACATAGTTAATACTAATGATTGTGAGAGTCTTCAATCAATCAATATGTTTGGTTGTCAATATTTTTGAAATCCAGTTTAAACTGCTTGCTTATTTCTGCAGACATCTTTATACTACAGTCCAGCAGACAGACGAGTGGATAGACCTTCTAGGTAAGAGAAATCAAATATCTAAATACAAGTAGAAAGAAAAAGGCTCCTTCAAGTTATGAAAAATCTCTTGCTTATACTTAAAACAGTTCTTACATTATATGCCTGGTATTTTTTTTTCCTACAGAAAGATAATTCCACATCCGTTTTTAGATTAAGCACAGTATAGATTGAACTTTTCCTGCAAGTATTCTCACTTTATACAGCTCCTTTAACTTCCTTGTGCCATTTTCTCTTTGAATTAAGCATAATTTATCTATATGTGCTACAGCTGTATTTCTCAACGTTATTGTGTGGATTTTGACTCCCCAAATTCCTCAACCAGCAGTCTTAAAGTGGTCAATGTTGAAAAACACTGTGCTACAGCATGAGATTTCCGTGACCATCCTGTATCCTTTGCTATTTTCATAAGATTCTTTTTGTAAAGGCATCTGATGATTGAATGACAAAACCTCTAGTCTAAGCATAGCAACACAATGTACGTCTTCCAATTTATATTCCAGAGAGAGGGGGGAATTTAAGAGAAGGATTATTTGGGAACCGTAGAGCCTTGGTTCTGGAAGAAAGTCTACCTGTAAAAAACTAGTGTTACCGATATAATTAAACCCATTAACAACAAATATTAACAGACTATAGATATATTATAACTGCTTCACTTCGTATTGCAATGTATTTTAAGTAATTTAGTAAAACTTAATTTGCTTCTTTGTGTAAATATGTCATCATATATCTTCTCCACATCCTACCTAGTCATACAAAAATAAAACAAAACAGCAAAATTTATCAACCAGCAGAGATGGTAGTATAGTAGTAAAAATGTATAGTGAGTGTAATATCCCCGGCTTTGGAAATGTAAAACTAGAAATAAAAGGCTACAAGTAAGTACACTATTAATTATGATGGTTATGTATTCATATGAACTTGAATGCAACTAAACATCATTAATCCAGATACATACATACATACATACATACATACATACATACATACATACATACGGAATCTTGGTTTTTACATTTGTGTATGTATAGAGGGGCCACATTGGTAGAATCTTTTGAGGTGTATACAGGAAGGAAGGAAGGAAGGAAGGAAGGAAGGAAGGAAGGAAGGAAGGGATATATGTAGCTATAGAAAAAATATGTCACACTTTGGATGTGTGATTTTTCTACAAACACATATCCATGTTGACCTAAAGCAGACAAAAATCCATAAATGTGGTTTAAGAAGGTACTATTCTTCCATCTTTCTCAAATGCCATAATATTTTTTTCACTCTGACAGAGTAAAGATTAAAATAGATCTACTTCTACATATAAAATGGCATTTATCTCTGCTTTTAATGATCAATTGTTTTTATATTTGTCTGATTGAAATAATTTTCTAGTGTTGCTTTGAAATAAAGTATTAATGTATACTTATTTTAAATGTTTTATATATACCATTTTTATTTTAAATAAGCAAATAGGATAACTAAACTGTGGAGTGCTTCATTTTCTGTCTCAACATAGCTTTGTCTCAGAATTTTGTTACCCTTCTATCCTTATTATTTATAAATAATATTGTAGCAGAACACATGTTGCATTTTTTGTATTCTTGCATGGATGTTGTAGTTTTGGAAATTGTAGAGAAGATTTTCAAGTGGACATGAGTAAGACATCAAGATACATTATTTAGCTACCTCATAAGGAAAGCAAATAATAGAACCTTTCCTTTCATCCCAAAGAATTTTACAAGCATATTGGGGGCAATATTCTAACTCTATAATCACTTAGGGCTATAAAGCTCTATGAAAACAGTATATAAGAATACGTGCTATTGTTATTGCCACACAATGGGATGAGCACTGTTCCTTGCTCAAGCTCCTGCCTGCCTAGCAGTTCGAAAGGATGCAAATGCGAGTAGATTAATAGCTACCACTTTGGTGGAATGGTAACAGCATTCAATGCACCTTACCATGTAGCCATGCTGGCCACATGACCACAGAAAATGTATTTGGACAATGCTGGCTCCATCAGCTAAGAAATGGAGATAAGCACCGCAACCTAGAGTCAGACACAATTGGATAGGGAAGCCTTTTTTGCCTTTTTATTGGTACTGTATTTAGTTATGTTAGCAATGGCTAATGAGCTTAATTATTTGCTGACTTCTAAGGAGACATCTTAGACATGTCTTGCTACATTATTATTTTCTTCTCCAGTTCTACAAGTACTTCAAGTGATTACAGAAAACGAAGGAAATCGGAGCCTGCAGTAACTCAGCAGAAAGTCCACACTGATCAGAATGTAAATCGATACACTCTTGGTCGTACAGATACACAGAGCACCTATTCAACCCTTAGGAAGCCTGTTACAACCTCTTCTCCATCTTCTCCATCAAGAGCAAAAGGTAATACATGAGCACAAGGATAAATAAACTGGAATAATTATTCATGAATTCCAAAACAACATGGATGGATTTCAAATTCGACAAAACAATCAAAATTCACCAGTCCAATTTGCACGGAAGGAATAGAAATCCAGTATTTATATTCATATTAATCTCCTAATCTGATATGTCAGCAAGTCATCATATGAAGACTTTTGTAGCCTTTTCTTTTATTATAAATAAGCAAATTAAAATCTTTAAAAAAAAACTTTAAAGTTGATTCACCAGACAAGGAAAAGACAGGGATTGAGGGCATTTTCTTCCCAAATATAATATTATCTTTTAAGATTGTCATACATCACTAATCAAGACATAAATCACAAACATAAATGTATCCAAAGGAAATGCAGTCTGCATATCTCTTAATGTTTGATAAATGAACTACCCCTTTTTAATGACTGAATAGGAAAATGAATTATTGTCTTGGCAAACATATATGGGGCATGAACTCTTAATGCAGGCTTTCCATGTCTGCATTCACTAAGAGCTTTTTTCTGCCGTATTTCATTTCTGCAATACTTCTCCATTTCACATATTTGCTAATGCTTCCTGGTTATTGTTATTGTACAACACCTGAAGTATTTCCTATGATTGCCCCCAACTCTGCAATGCCATCATAATGATTCAAAATGTTACATTGAAAAGGCAGCCATGTACCATTTACCCAATTGGAATATGAACAAACCAAGATAACTGTAACAGTGCAATTGAAGCTCCATCTGAATTTTTAGGTTGTCATGAGGCAAATCTGTCACTTAGATTTGCCTCGTGACAGCTGCCATTTTGACTTTTTGGACCAGACATTGTGGACATCCCAGTAATTAACTGTGTTGGGGAAGGGAGAGTAAAGATTGTCTTAGAGTTGTTGAGAAGAATAGACAAAACTATTGAACAAAAACGAATGTGTGAAGAGTAGCCATTGGGTGGGAGAGGCTGTTTGTCTATGAAGTTAGTCTTTGTTGTAATACCTAAAAAAAAACTTTTTTTCTTACTATCCATATTATGTACTTCTATTTGTCCCAATTCCATTCAGCTTTCTTCTCTCTATTCTTTTTTCTTTCCTTCCCTTTTCTAACATAGCTATCCTTTCTTTTAACTCATTTATATTCTATCTTTTGCCTTTCCTTCCTCTTTCTCCTTTTTTTTCATTTTTGCTAATTATGTTGGAAAGAGGGGAGAAGTGTAAATATACACTCATGTAAAAGTATTTTATGGTAAAAGAAGGAACTGTTGTAATATGTATATGATGGGTTCATTAATTTTATAAATAGGGTTTTGTATATAATATACAAATATAAATTTAGCATTTTTTGTTCTGGATCAGCCTTTTTTGGAGTGTAGCTTCTGGCAGATACCTATATATGTATGTCCCGTATGTGCACACATGTGTGCATGTTCAGGAATTTATATACAGATGCATAAGTGTGTTTATGTCATTTGCACACATTATTGGAGCAATCTCCAATATCGGTTTCAACCAAAGTTGACAACCCTTGGTTGAAAAAGTAGAAAAACTGGGCATTGTGCATGATTTTTGTCTCTGTGTATGATATTTTTTAAAGAAAATCTGCTCTTCTCTTGGATTATCTTCCTTTTGGGTTAAAATGGCAAATGGTCCTTTGAATTAACAAAAAAAAAATCCATTTCACCCCTAGGGGTGGTCTGTGTCTTCTTGTGCTGCCCCACTCACCCACACCCACACATAAAGTGTGATTTAGAGAGTTTATTGATGTTCCCCAGCAATTCCCTTCACGCAACCTCAGAACTGTCCCAAATAAATCCAGCCAGAAGCAGGCCAAGGTCCACAAGGCAATGCCCAATAGTCCATAAAACAATGGAAAGTTGCTCCAACAAATAAGCCCACCAAACAATCTTAAATCTACCAGGCCAAACTGAAATATACCCACAAGAGCTCACTTGACAAAAGAAGTTCAGAATCTCCAAGGCACAAGGTCAAGCAGAAAGCCAAACACAGCCATAAACCAAACACATTGTTCCCAGCAAAGCCTCCCTCTGCCAACTATGATAAATAGCTTTCTGGTGCAGCCCATCAAGACAAAAAAAGTGATGGTTCACTTAACAACTGCCTCCTTAGCAATGGAAATTTTAGGCTCAATTGTAGTTGATGAATATCTATACACACATACACATATACCATATAGTTAATGTCTCAACATCCCAATATGTTCCACCGAAAATCAGGACTATTTGCATTCTCTGTTTTAATGTTTCTCATTTGTTAACAGGGTTTATTTGTGTAAGTGTTCCTACTTATTTATATAAAAAGCAGTCTAAAATCAAAGGCATTTAAGATAACTTTCTTCTAATGTTTATTTAATTGCATGACACTTTAACATTTAACACATTTCTAGTTTTAATACTTCAGGGTACAAAATTAGTAATCAGCATTAGTACTTGGCTAATATTATCTGAGTCAAGATGGGATAATTGTTTGTATATATTTATAACATTTTCTATATTGTATTGCAGAATCTCAGTGTTCAATGTTTGGGCATATAGCAATTCTGTTTTGTTCCATTTTGCTGGAACCAATCTAATTCAGGCAATGGATTTTGAGAGTTATGGATAAAGTGCCTTAGTTTTGCTTTTTCCCAAATTTTACTAACTTCAGATCTATTGAACTACAACTCCCATTATTCCCAATTACCAAAATTGTATTCCAACATATCAGTGCTCATTTAACTATTTTCCCTGTAAATCCATTGATTAAAGTTTTCAGCTTAGAAGTTTCCTCATTGTTCACCCTGTTACATTACAAATATCACCAATACAAGGGAATTGTGATGACCTGGAGTGTATCAAAAATATAACAAAAATCAAAACGTAAATAAAGGTCCTTTAATGCCTTCAACTTGGCTTCACTGTTTAATTGTTCACAGTTGAAGATTAAACTATTTTCAAAATAACATTCCAAACAAAAGAAAATACAGTTCAAATTCAAAGAGCAGATAACGAAGCAAAAAACAAAAACAAACCGCACTGAAGAAAGTTCCACAAGAGACCAGGATAAATAATTAGAAACTTCAGGAAGATAACCAGGTACAGTCCGTTGGAAGAACGCTAACCAAGATAAACTTCATCCAGGAATAAAACACTATTTGTCTCCAGAATTTGTTAGCATGCAGGTCCAAACTCTTATGCAGATCTCATACCTGCAACTCATGAAGAGGATAATGGCCCTCTCCTCCCAAATAGCCCTAGGATGGATCACATTTTTCCCTGATCCTCTCCTCCCTGCATGCCCTAGGATGGAGAGGGAATCAGCCTGGGTCCTCCTCTGACTGCTCAGCCGGCCTCTGCCCTTCCCCAGCCTCCTCCACCACCTCTGGAGCCACACTTCCATTCCCTGTTGGCTGTTCCTCCTCTCCCTCAGAGTCAGTCTCCATCAAGGGCATAACAGGAATAACCAGAGGAAGAATTTAAAAGAAAAACCTGTGGGGTGAGAAAGAGAAAGGTGGAGAAACAAATGGAAAATCTTATTTTTAAATTAGAAAAACTGTAAAGGGGCCTAAGGTTACGATACACTACCAATTTTCTAAATTGTTCAAAGTCTTTCCAAGTAGGTAATACATTTATACCTGGTTTTCTATTGGCTGTTTTTATAATGTATAATTTTTATTTAAAGCTTACATAATCAAAAAATAAACAAGACAATATATGAAAGGAAAATAGAAAAAGGAAGAAGATCAAATAAAAGGTACTGGAAATAATATAGATTAAGAAAGAAAGAAAAAGAGTATTTAAAATATGACTTCTGATCTTCTACATAGCAGTTGCAAATAAACTTCTACTATCTCTCCCCCATTAGAGTTACATTATGTAGTTCCATTTTTCCCCACGTTTCATCCTTTTTAATCAGCTGATCCAGAAATCACTTTTCGTTTTCATTTTGTCTATTTTCAGCAATTATTGGGCTGTTTTTTAATTTTAATTTTATTGCCTGGATTAGATTTCTGAACAGGAAATGCAGTTAATTTTTTTTAGTTAACTTACCTTAAAATCTGAGAAAGATGATAATGTATGTGCACAATTTTACAGCATGTTAGGGAAACTAGGTGAGAAATGGTACCCAGTTTGCCATTCCAAAAATTTAAAGATACATATAGAAGCCTTTCTATATTGATAGTGCAATCCAAACTTAACTGAATGATTATTGTATTTTAGGTATGCATATTATGCAATAATAATTATTAACTCTATGTTAAGAAAATCAAAGTGCTTCCTCACCACTGATTTCTTTCTGGCATGTAATAATTGTTATTTTTCTGTCTACTTTTGAATCTGTTAATTTCTGGCAATGTCTCTTTTTCACCATGCTGCTCTGTGGATTATAAAGGTGGGGATATTAGCAAAACATATTCATCCCTTTCCAGTTATTCAGTCCCCAACCAGAACACCTCGAATGATTTAGATTATGGTAAAAATTATGGGCAGCGATTAGCTGTTCCAGGGGATTCAAGAAGAGCCATCAGCTACAAGAATGGCTGGCAAATGGCCCGTCAGAATGCAGAAGTTTGGAGCAGCACTGAAGAAACTTCCTCTCCCAAACGCAAATCTCGCAGCTACGATGACCTATTAGCTGATGATCACTGTTGCTTCTCTGATACACAGAATAAATCTGAAAGTATGGTGTCCCTGTTGTGTGCAGACAATTCCAAAGGTGATTCTTCCCTTACCTGGGCTTCCCCATATTCCTCTGAAACTCGTGGTTCCAATCGGTCAAGGGCACATCATAGGTCTGCCCATGATGTTCCTGGATTCCTAAAACTGTACAAAAGAATGCACCGCATTAACCGCAAAGACTTGCTTAATTCTGAGGTGATCTGTTCTGTAAAATCCAGAGTACTACAGTATGAAAAGGAACAGCATAAGAGCTTGATACATGGTTGGAAGGAATCCTCCACAGAGGAAGTACCAAGAGACATGGTGCCCAATAGAATATCTGAATTTGAAAAACTAATTCAGAAATCTAAATCAATGCCAAATTTAGGGGAAGAAGCATTATCAACTGTAAGCTTCATGGAACCCCCTAAAAATGGCTTTTGTACAATGAGACGGTTTTCTATTGAATCCTTGCTGGATGAAGAAAATCAAAATAGGCACACTACTCAGGTGCAAAAGAATTACAAGTCCAACACTATGGTGCCAATTCACATTGAAGTAACTAGTGAGGAACCACAAAGATCTCAGATGGACTATTCAGACAGTGACCAAGATGGAGTGGTCTCTGACATGAGTGACTTCATACAGATAGAAGGCTCATCTTTTTGTAGTGAAAGCGATTTTGATCACTTCTCCTTCACATCCTCAGAAAGTTTTTATGGATCAGGACATCACCACCATCACAAGCATCTTATCAGCTCCTGCAAAGGAAGATGTCCAGCCTCATACACACGCTTCACCACCATGCTGAAGCATGCAAGGGCTAAACAGGAAACCACCCCAGAAGATCCTAAGCGACAAGATTCCGATGCTGGCCTCTCTAAACTAGCCTTCCTAGTCAGCCCAGTGCCTTTCCGGAGGAAAAAAAACACACTCCCCAAAAAGCAGGTTGAAAAGACTAAATGCAAATCATCTGTCTTTGATGCCCTGGACTCTGCTCTTAAAGATATCTGTGACCAAATCAAAGCAGAGAAAAGAAGGGGAAGCTTGCCTGACAATAGTATATTGCACAGACTTATTTCTGAATTGCTTCCCGACGTTCCTGAAAGGAATTCCTCCCTTAAAGTTTTTAGAAAAAGTCCCATACGCCAGCCTTTGCATCCACTGCCTCACGATGGTGCTATTCACTGTCCGTTGTACCAGAATGAATGCAGAAGTTTGCCTCTCAGTGCCTCTTATCAAGACATGGATGCTACCAACAGCAGCAACCAGGAATATGATAATGTTCTGTGTTTCCAAGGTGGATTACTTCCTTTTCTTTATGCTTGTGTTTGATTCATTCACCCTTATCCTCTCTAGTTTATTCTCATTACATTTGTGTTGTGCACCTTATATAGCCTAGAAATTGTATGTTGTACAGTCAGTCATAGGAATGAAAAAAAATCAGTTTATGACAATAACAGTGTATAAAGTCGCACTTTTCAGACCAGCCAACAAAAGGAAAAAGTAATCTTTTGTTATTAGAATTTGAATAGTTACTGAAATAAGAATGAAATAATAATGAAACTTAATATCATACAGTGAAAAAGTCTCAAATGGTCTAATTTTCATATTAATAATTTTTGGAAAAAAGTACATTATTATTTCCTAATAAAATATATGGTCACCTGAATATAAGAAAGTACAAGATGAAATAATAAGAAAAGACACACTTGTTTTAAAATTATTTCCATCTAGGTTCACAAAATAATTCAGTTATGTAGAAACATAATTATGGCTGAACTGAATGTTTGGCTCACTAATCTAAATTTCCATCTGTGCAATGATGGTGGCAACATTAAAATCTACTAATTTTAAAATGGCTTCATTTAATATTAAGAAGGACAAGTCCTACAAGGATAAAACCAAGGTAAGGAGTATTACAGTTGCAATTTCATCTACTTAGCTGAAGTCTATGTTTCAATAAAAATAATAACAGGCACATGATCTCCATTAATAATATGGAATATTTTAAAATTCAACTCGGTCATGGTCTCCTCTGCACAGAGCTGTATAGCTCAACTATCAGCAGCAACAGAAAGCAATGGCTCCTCTGCTGTCCCTCACATCTTCTCCAATGAGACTGAGATTAGAAATGTCTTCTTTTAAATGAAATTTCCTGTGATGCTAAAATCAAATTTCCTGTGATGCTAAATCTGCTTATTTTGAACCAGTTATAAACAATATTAAACAGTGGGTTGCTAAACCATAGTTCCGAGCTGATTCCAGTGGCAAGCAATATAGGGAATTATATTTTAGCAACATGAGTAAAGCCACATATTACCTCTCATTTAAAAGAAGCAAGGATCAAAATATAGTTTATACTCCTAACTTATTGGTAAACCAATACTGCTTTACACTAGCTAGAGTTCACTTAGTTATCTACAACTTGATTAGTTTAAAATGAGTGTGCCAGTCTCCTTTGCCCAGGGGGAAGACAAAAAAAGAAGATTTGAGTCCAAACTTCATGGTGCTTTTGCATATACCATTGTTGTACATCGTCCAGCATCACTTCTTGTGATATGGGCAGCCATATAAATTTGGTAGATAAATAAACCAACAATTAGAATTGCTGTTCAGAAATGAGTCCAGAAACTTCTTGCTCCATGTAAATGTAATAAATTGAACATATTATTTAGATATCAGGGTTTAGATATATGCAGTTTCTATCATTTCTTACATGCAATAGTAATTTCTGACATGAAAGGTGCCACTAACACAAATTGCACTTGGAGTTATATTCTGGAAGTTTTTAAGTCCACGCATCTTAAAGTTACCAAGTTTGAGAAATTCCAGTTTAGGGTACCATAAATACAAATAGTTATTTGAAAATAACAAATAGAATAATTATTTCTCATTGAGGATTTCTATAAAAATGAACTATAGTATAGACCTTACAAATCTGCTTAAAAGTGTTAATGAGCTACATTATTTTTTTCTTCATGTTAATAGCACTTACATAGGTATTTTCAACTTGTCATATTCTAATCTTAAATGTGTTTACTCAGTAATCAATCTGCTGAATTTAAGAAGGCTTTTCCCTAATAAACGTTGGGATCACACCGAAAGGATGCAATCCTATTTCATTGACATTTCTATATAAATAATTAAGTTTTGTGAGCTAGAAATATGGAATTATAGATATCACTTAACCTGGAAAGCAGCTATTTGTTTGATCTGTGATTATTTTATTAAAAAAATAGCAGTAATGCTTCTGACTAATGGCATGGTACGCTAGTAGCTTTTATGATTCCCCTTTTTTACAGGAAAAATAGTCCCCAGGACTGTTTTTCCCAAAGTTCCCCTTACAGCAAATGGCATCTTTGGGAAAAGTGGCAGCACAGAGAACAGAAAAATAATAGCACTGCACTCCTAACCTGGTGACCACGTTTTCATATCTACTTGTTCTAAAACAAGCCCAGATTATACAGTAATGTGGCAAATGCGTAATCTAATCTGGTCTAACATAAAACAGTCGTACATTTCTGTTCTACTATATTACCTCAGAATTTCATTATTCCATCATTGTGGCATGCTTTTGACACATTCCCTTGCATGTGGATACATGTTTATTAGCTTTATGAGTCAATACTATGTTTTACCTTTTGCATCTTCAGTAACTTATTCTTCTGCTGTTCCTCTAAAATCAAGGGTTGTAAGAATCAGAGAAGATGCTACCTATGTTGCTGGTCTTGGTTTTCTTTTTAATGCTTCAGGCTCAGTTCGAAATTGTATAACTAGTATAGGAAGTAGTTTCCATAGCTAGACTTCTGTTTTGTCAGTTTTTGTTTATTTGTTGTTACATTAGTTTAATTCAGATTCACATTAACATGAATTTAGATGTAGTTTCCTTTGAAATAAGCTTCCACAATTATTTTTCATGAATTTTCATCCAATGGCATTTTACTTTCAGTAGACCAGGAATCTCCTGGAAACTATTCTTCTGCTTTCACTGATGTGAGTCGGTGTATTCCAAAGGAAAGGAGAGGAACTCCAGAAAGAGAGGTAAGGCCAGAAAATTACTTAAACAAACATGTCTGAAGCCAGAAGTGTATTTCTGGAAACACCTGGAGATCTTTAAAAAGCATATCTTGCACAGCTTCTTGGCAATGCTGTTTTATCACCTGGGGTTACAAAACAATGCAGTTGGGATAAAGGAGAAGCAGAGCATGGGCTACAATTAGGGCATTTCTGCATAAGTACTCCGTACCAGTTCAGGACTGGTTCTGATCCTGATTGATCTCATCTATTTTGAGCCATTGAATCAATGAATTTCTGAATTTGAAATTGTAGCAAAGCCGGTATTTTCCCTTTTTTGTTCCCTATGGTTCTGCAGTCCTTGTAGGCTTTTCACTTCCCCACTATTGACAGGAATCCTTTCATCATTGAATAGGCCTTCTCTAATGTGTTCCCTAGAGGTTTGACATCTTGCTCCTGGACGTTTCTTTTTCATACGTACTAATTGGAACTTGTCTTTCCTTTCCTTTCCCTCCATTATAGTATCATGCAGCTAAGATCACAGTTGTTGGGATCTTATGATATTAGATCACAGATGATCTAAATTTCCAAGCTGCTTGTATTTTCATCTCACAGAGCTTTGAGGAGGAACAAAGGAATGGTGGCAAGGTAGCCAGGAAGACTTTGGCGGATTTCAGTCCCTTTGCCTTTTTTACAGTTGATTAGACTGGCTTATGATGATCTGTATATGTCTTCTGCATTTTGAGATCAAGAAAAGTAAAGATAATTGCAGATTGCTTTCAAATTCCTTTGTGAGGATTGGAGGGCAGAAAAAGTATGCATTGGAACTGCAGATGAAAGACGCAACAACCAAAATTGCAACATCTGTTTAACAAGCAATAAATGTCAGTATATTTGTGGGCCTGCCAAGAGGTACACAGTGTTCAGAGAAGAGATTAAATCACAATGAAAGCACTCGGCCTAAATAAATTTCTCCTTTCTAGGATGCTAATCCCATTTCCCTTTGTTGATGCTGCTCCTTAGGCTTTTACTATCTAGATGAAAGGAAAAGTTGGAGTCAATGAATTCCAGGCCTTCTCTCTGAATTTCTGGTCCTTCTGCAGAAATAGTGAATACTTCCTTTTGCAAAATAACCTCAATATTTTAATAATATTTGAAATACAAATGTAGACTTGGAAGCATACAGAGATTCATTAACATTTTTGTGCAATGTGTTTGGTTTTGTTATATTAAAACTTAGTCCTCTGAAGGATATCCTAAAGTAGTTTCATTTTATATTTTTTATAACATGCACCAGAAAATTGGGACCAAGTATTAATCAGTAAATATTGCTGCTAATTGGGGTAGTACTCTCTCTTCCCTGCTATCATGAAAGCAGGTTATTTAGGATTACATAGAGGCATCATGAAGTAGAGCCATCCTGAAACAGCTACCTAAAATGCAAGTACAGACATTATATGAAGCATATGCAGCCCCGCTCCCATTTTTTGCTACATCAGAGGGGCATTATTTTAGATACATTTTACATATTATTTTAAATACATGTTATTTAGACTAATTTCTTTCCTTCTATTACAGAGACTGCCAGCTAGAGCAGTATATGACTTTAAGGCGCAAACTTCTAAGTAAGTATTAATCCATTTTTTTTTTATCCAAAGAATCTTAATGAATTTTAAATGTTAAATATGTGCAATAATATTACAATGGATACAAATGAGTCTTTGGTTCTTATGTAGTTAAACTATTTTTTTTACTATTTGAGCATACTGCAATATTCAATAATTTAAGAACTAGTAGCCGCAATATTTAACTAATATATGACTCATCCCCCATAAAGTGTTTAGCAATATTTAATGCATAATTGAATAGTACATATTTAAAAGAATAATTTCTAAAATTGAAGTTGTTTTCTTTTATCTTATTTAGTATAGAGGGAACAATTTTGCAGTAAAATAAAAATGGACATATTGTTAATGTATGATTTAAATATGCAGTGTTGATTTACTTTCACTTTTCAACACTCTCACCAATATAGTTTTTATTATGCTCTTTATGCCATTTTATCAGCATTAAGATAAGACAAAATTGCTCTTAGGGTGAATTTCTATACTGTTATAAGAAAAAAAATATCTTTAAGCCTGCCAAAGTACACAGAAGTCCAGCCTTTCTTAAAGCTGGCAAAGTCAGAACAATCTAAATTTTAGAGTGGGATAGAAAATTAGGGTTTCATATGCCACTTACACTAATACTTTCTAAACTAGTTGTAGGTTCTAAGTGGTCTTCAATAATAGCCTCCTAATGTTGCAAAAATTCTGATAAGAGTGGTTAAAGCATGAGTGAGCATGAGCAATCAAGCAGAAATGGATACATTCGGCAAGATGGATTTGTACAACAGCATCCTAATTCCCTCCCCTATTGTACAGGTAGTCCTTGACTCACAATAGTTCATTTAGTCACCATTCAAAGTTACAACAGCACTGAAAAAAGTGACTTATGACCATTTTTCACACTTATGACTATTGCAGCATCCCCCTGGTCATATCATCAAAATTCAGACACTTGACATCTGAGACATATTTATGACGACTGCAGAGTCTTAAGGTCATGTGATCACTTTTTGTGACTTTCTGACAAGCAGTCAATGGGAAAGCCAAATTCACTTAATAATTGTGTTACTAACTTCACTGTGACAAGAAGGGTTGTAAAATGGGGCAAAATTCACTTAATAACTGTCCCACTTAGCAACATAAATTTGGGACCAAATTGTGGTCAAGGACTACCTGTATTAATACTTTGATCTTGATGAGTCTTCTGCCATTAGTTTTCCTTCTTTATCTTTTATGGTTTTTCCCAAAGAATTGCTTTGTGTTTATGGTTGACCTCATTACTAAATATACCATATCTTTTGCACTGTGAGACATACCTGACCATAAGATGCATCTAGGTTTACAGGAGGAAAACAAGAAAAAAATTTATCAGGCGGAGCCTGAGAGGACCGCAGATAGGTATCCTCTCATGTGCCAGCTCTGCCTATTGACTCTTGCAAAAGAGTCAGGCAGGCAATGACAAAGACAGAGGAGGTGGGATTCAGCACTGTAAAAAGACCCCGCTGCCAAGACCCGGCTGCTATTCACCAATGGACCAACACAGACCCACAGACATTTCTACCTACTTTTCGGGGGGCGAGTATGTCATATGGAGTGAAAAATGTGGTAATTTCTAGCTGCTAATTTTGGTTCTTTTTGTTATTAAAATTATAAACAATATTCAATTCAAGATATAGTTACCAGGATGTCAACTCTGCATCACTGTGTATAAATGTTTGTTACAGAGAGCTGCCCTTTAAGAAAGGAGACACTATCTACATCCTCAGGAAAGTGGATCAAAACTGGTATGAGGGCGAACACTACGGAAGAGTTGGGATTTTTCCTATTTCTTATGTTGAGGTTTGTCTTTACACCAGCAATCTGATATATATGAGTTTTACAAACAGATACCCAATTTGGAAAGGTTGATTAAAATAACCACTATTTTCTCTTCAGAAACTTATTCCCCCAGAAAAAGCACAGCCAGCAAGACCACCACCCCCAGCACACGTGGCTGAGATTGGAGAAGCTATTGCAAAATATAATTTCAATGCAGATACAAATGTGGAGCTTTCATTGAGAAAGGTATTTGATAAAATTGGGTGTTACACCAAGTTTGGCAAAGATTCTCTGTTAAGGGGCTTACTCACTCAAGTATATATTACCCAGGGCTATATTGTGACTGTAAGTTAGGCTACTACATCTTTATGCTGCCCGTTTTTTCTTTCGGCTGAGCTTTTCTCTCCCCACCCCCCACCCCTACATTGGTATTAACCTTCTTTCCCTCCCTTTCTTTCAACTCCTGGCCCTCCCTACAGCAATGCAAATGAAAAGTGCTGAACAATATACTGTAGGTAGCCCTTCTTTATCGACCACAACTGGGACTGGCAATTAGGATGTTAAGCAAAGCAGTTATTTTTTTTGCATCACCATCATGAACAGTCATTGTTTGAAGCATTCGCTAAACAAAGATTACCTATGTACAATTTGAAGATATTTGGGACCAAATCAGAGTTTTCTTTCAGTGCAAATACCAGATGCTAGACTGTAAATCTGACTCAAAACTGTATCTGGGGGAAAGAATTAAAGCTTATTTCTTTCCATATACAGTACATGCAATATCAAATCTTGCTGTATCCTACAATCCACTTTGAGAAGGCCTCTTTCTGGTCCAGTGCTTTTAAGGGGCTTCTTACATACAGGTGATTATTTGCTTAACAACCATTTGTTTAGCACCTGTTCAAAGTGATGGCAGCGCTGAAAAAAGTTATTTATAACTAGTTTTCACACCTATGATTGTTGCAGCATCCCTGTGGTCACATGATTGCCATTTGAGACCTTCTGAACTGGCTTCTGACAAGCAAAGTCAATGGGGAAGCTGGCAAGAGCTGGCAAGTTGCAGTCCCATGATGTCTTGCTTAATGACCTTAGGTGATTCACTTAACAAATGAAACCATTGCTAAATGAGTTAGCCACGTGATGTTTTGCTGATTTACTGCTTCATTTGGTAATGGAGTTGCTGGTTCAAATTAGGGTCATTAAGCAAGGACTATTTTATAGTATTTTATTTATTTTATAGTATTGTATTTTAAAGATCCATAGAAAAAGTGGCCAGCTCTTACTTTTTAAAATGAGATCAAGAAGGCTCTTAGTACTTTCCTTAAAAATAGTTTTTTTTAAAGGGCCCCATACGTTGTCAGCAGAATGAGATCTTTACAAAGACGTTTCTCCCTCCTAGAGCTAACAGAAATCTCTTCGCTTTTATTATGCTCTGTGTCCTCCTGAGTGGGTCTTCAAAAGAGGCTTCTCCCTCGTAACCTGAATTGCCATGTTATTGTGTAAAAATCTCTCTTGCAGAGGTCTGTGCTAAGGGGCATGTTTCAGAGGTCAATAAAGAGATTTCTTGGACAATGTGCTATAAAGGAAGAAAACTCTTGGTAAATTTCCTTGATCAGCACAAACATTTTGAAAAGTAAATGCAACCTTTGAACCCTCCCTTTCCCATATATTGTCCCTAGGTAGGACTAGCATTAGACAATTATTGTAGCTTCCTATGTTTGTCTCACTACCATTTCATTGGAAGAGGAATTTCCATTCTTAACTGGTAGATTAGGATCATGGCATGCACTAAGAGCCACACAATTCGTCTTTCCATTCAAAAATTCATTTAGACAACTGCTGGTTCTATGAACGGTGCCTCAAGTTACTTTAAGGTCTGAAGCTGTATGAGAAGCATTTTGACCTTGGGACTTCTTGACTTTTCTTAACTATTCACTTTCATTAATAGTCCATCACAATTAAGGAATGTGTATTCCATCACTATATATTGTATGCATTAATGATGGGACAACAATTTTTCATCTATTGAGTGTTGCCTTTCAGGGAGACAAAGTCATTCTTCTTAGACGGGTTGATCAAAACTGGTATGAAGGCAAGCTACTGGGAACAAATAAGCAAGGAATCTTCCCAGTATCCTATGTAGAAGTCAAAAAGAGCATGGCCAGAGGAGAAAATGAATATCCTGTTCCTCCAATACCCCAGAGTTACTCAAGTGACAAAATCCACCATTCAGCTAAGGTGAGATTGCACTGTTTTTCCTCTCTTAGGTTACCTTGGTTTTTTTATGGTGTTCTTGTATTTTTGCATTTTAAAATAAAAATAATGTGTTCGCACAGTTTAAGCTCATGAAAAGCATATGGAAGCAGAGTTTGATACTATTTCATGCAGGTTTACTTGATTCAATGACCTTCTGCATTATTTATACAATGCAAACGGCACATTTATTCTTTTTAACTTTTTGAACCTGATCCAATTTCTTATCAGAAAAACACACACAATATACACATACATACACATTCATCTATGGCAGGTGAGGATTGCCTTAAATTAATGGTGGAAACCATTTCTCTTAAACCAGTTCTTTAAAGGGCCATTAACTAATTAGGATATGGCAATTTTGAATACATATTATTTATTGCAATTTATTTACCAAATGTTTGTGTCTCCAAATCTACATCACATAATTTATGATAATGTACTGAACAAAATAACATTTGACATAGTAAATAAGAGTAACACAGTACCATACACCACAAGAACAAATCAATAATATAACCTCTTATAATAAATAAGAGTTGGTGCACAAGTTGCAGCCTTTGTACCAATCACACTTGTGAACCAATTGCACCCATTCCTGGACCAGAAGTCCCTACATATGAGTCATTCATGCCCTAAACACTTCCTATTTGGAGTACCGCAATGCACTTTACAAGGGGCTGCCCTTGATGTCTACCCTGAAACTTCAACTGGTCCAGAATGTTGTGCTGTGTGCAGTCCTGCATTTTTGTCTGTGCTAGATTGATGGTGTATGGGTTGCCCTGGCTTACAGTTTATTTCCAAGAGCAATTTGAGATGCTGCTTATTACATTTAAAGTTTTGGGTGGCATGAACCCAGGTTATTTGTAGGACTAACTCTTCCTGAGGATATCTACTCATCCGTCTAGACCAGATAGGATGGGCTCTCTCCAGGTCTCTATTAAATATTGTAACCTGTTGGAACCTAGGAAGTAAGCCTTTTCCATAGTAGCACCAATGCTCCTGAGATGCAGAAGGGTCCCTAACCTTTTAGCTTTTGGAGGACCTTGAAAATGCCCTTTCCCTCAGGAGATGAATTGAGCTAGGATGGGAAATGAGGCCAGCATTTTAAAAATGAGGGGGCTGCTTGTTTGTTTGTTTGTTTGTTTGCTTGAGAGGATACTATTATGACATTGGTGAGGGTCACAAATTTTAATTTTGTGTTATTATTTGTATATTCTTCCATTAGCTAACTAAAATTAGTGTCTATAAAGGCCATATGATTTTATTTTCAAAATAAGTAAATATATAATATCTGAATAAATATGGCTAACGGCCATTCCCTAAAGGCTTTCTGGATGTGCTAAAAGAACTGTACTAGAGCAGGACCAATGAACCTTTAGAGCAGAGGAGTTCAGCCTTGGCAACTTGAAGATTTGTGAATTTCTAGGATTCCCCAGCCAGCCAAACTCGGCAGTACTTAAAGTACATAGGGGCCAAGCTTTATAGGGATTTACAAATCAGAACTAGTTCTTTGAATTCCACTGTAGTGTAGTATACACTATGTAGTATCCTGAACAGGACTATATTCTCTATCATCATACTGGGTATTGCCAACCACACAGTACATTTTTGACCTGCTGCAGTTTTTGAGGAGTTTTAAAAGAAGCCCCAAGTAGAGAGCACTCCATTTGCATGGTGATTATGGCATGAACAGTCAGGCCTTCTTATAACTGCTCACTAGCTAGAAATGTCTTGAACATCCAATAATGCCATTTTATTAGAGTTCAGCCTGTTTTGTCCCATCCATACTCCATCAATCTCCAGATATTTGAATGAGATTTCAGTAGCAACTTCAGCTGGGCCTGCAATGGCAGTATAAAGTTAAATCAGCCTGTTCATATCACATCCCAACTGCGAAACAATTTTTCCAGAGCAGCTTCATTTGTGGCCTTGCAGTACCCAAAAAGGGGGGCAGCATATGGGCCAACCTAGCCTCATCCACTGCCATTGAAGGGAATTGCCCGCTGAAGCAGGAATGCAAATATTGCAGAAAAAGGCCCTGATCCCCAAAACTTGCAGTCTGGGATATCATGCTTGATGGTAACAAAAGCTGTTGGGAAGTTAAGTAAGACCTGTGGATCACTCTTCCTACACCAAGATCCTGAAAAATGCTATCTGACTACAAAAGCTAATGTTTTCTCCATCCCATGCCCATGTGTAAATAATTGAAAAGGTTTCAGATCATCTACTTTCTCTAGATTGTCTCTGGTTGCATCCCAATGTGCTCTTTACATCATTACCAGAAGGGAAAACTGAAGAGTAGATAATAGTTGTCAAACACTTCTGGATCCAGGGAGGATGTATTAAGGAGAAGCATAAGATAGATAATCTCCCACAACCAGGTCATCATACACTCACCCAGTCCTATATTGAACCAGGAAGGGCATAGACTAAGCCCTCATATGTCTGAGGTCATACCAAGAGCACTCTTTCCACTTCCTCAAAGGAAACCAAGAGGAAGCCCAGATAAGGGAGCTATACAGTGCTCAGAATATCTACAGAATATCAGGCTACTCATTAGAGTCAAAAACCATAGTGAATCTGAATGTTGGGAATATGCAGTGAAAAATGGCTACAGTGCCCAGGCAGGATATCTTCCTGTTTATTTTTCTCTAAAAGAGGATTCACCAGCTTAAATAAAGCTGCCAGCCAACAACCTGCAGCAAGTAGCATCCCATTATAAATTACTACATGAACTTGTTTTGTCTGCATGATTTCATGTACATAGGGTACCTGTATCTTTTATCATTGTTCAACTTGGATGAGAAGAGAATAGTTTTCAGACAAAGGAAATCATAATAATGAATGTGAATTATAATTGCTTTAGGATTCTCCAAGGAAAAAAACATTAAGTTAATACTGGATCTTCAGCAAATGTTTTTATTCTTGAGTTGTGAAAGGAGGGGAGACTTGAGAGATTCCTGATCTAACTATGCAATTTTCCAGCACTACCTTTTACTTCCATAAAATTTCTCAGTAAAAAGGTGTAACTCAAACTAGAATTGGCATTGTAACAGTAACTAATGCAAAATACTTTTGTTATTGCAGAAACATGTGGTTATTAAAATGATGCAAATACAACATATACTTTTCTCATGGATTTTTCTAGTATTGGGGATCAACAGCAAGCCATCAGATTTTAATTGGCACTTTACTAAGGAAGTTAGTGTATATCTGCCTATTGATACCCAACAATGAATGTAGTACTGTTTGATTTCAAATCTTCATGGAAACATAATGTAGCTCTTCAGTTTTCCCTATCTCTGACCTCCACTTCTTGCTAAACAAGCATAATGCATAATGCCAGAGATGGACATGATGTACAAAACAGATAACTTTATAGTAAAATATTTAAATGTGGTAAAATTGTATTTATAGCATATTATATAATTTAATAATACTGTATTTTTATATCTATTAGTGATTGTGGGCTGAAGATTTCTATTTAAAATTGTTCTTTTTAGTTAAAATTGTTCTTTCTAGTTAAAATTGTTCTTTCTATTTCAAATGACTGAATACAAAAGAGGATAATCTTCAAATTTTGCTCAGCTTTTTGTGCTGTTTGCAGAAATGGAACCATGACTGTCATTGTCCATATTAAATCTATTTGACTTAAAATTAGTGCTAATTAACACCATGTTCATAAGAATATTTTTAACATTTACAAAAGTATTTCTTTTGTTTGTGTTTCTTAGTGACAGCTGAGATCCATTCTATATTATTTAAATTCTATTTTAAGAACTAAATCATAACTTTAGATTTCCTGTGCAATTAATTCAAAATATATATGTTCTCCCTGGTACCTAAATTCTATATATAATATAAATGTTACTATTAGCCTTTCTAAGATTTCAAACTTTTTTATTTCAAATGAGGGTTTAACTTGGAAAATTAATAACAAAAACTACATTTTCAGTATTTATTGAAGCAATGGATATCTACTGATGCAATATACGTATGAATCCCAGCTCTTCCATGCTTACAAAAGGACTTTTATTTTACCAGAAGAAATCTTCAATCAATGTTTCAGCTTAACCATATTATTCAGCCAATAATTATATTTTTTCAAAACAGTTTTGAGTTTAAAATAATTTTCTATTATATGCACAAACTAGCATTTGGATCCTATGTACCTTTAAAGGAAATGTAATAATGTGTGAAGTGCTATTATTTTTAAAGTAAAAAAATAGATTGGGTAGCTGCAGGGAATATAAAAACAGTGTACAATTTTATTGAATCTGTTATTGCAGGGTCTTTTATCAGTTGGTGAAGAACTTAAACACTTGTAGCACCTGGGATTAATTTTGATTAATCTCAAAGTATCCCAACCTGAACTGCATATTTCTGTGCTATGTAGAACCACTCTCCTCTCAAAACAATAAGGCTACAGAAAGAAAATTTTGGGTAATCACATCTGGGCCATTAGTCTGGCTGGCATGAGAGCAACGTGGTGATTCAAATCTGTCTTGATGTGTGACACTTAGTCTTGGGCAAGAACCTGAAAGTTTCACTTTCCAGTTATGCTTTCTGTTGCCTGATTGATATGCTAATAAATTCATAAATGTACATTCAGTGAGTAATAGCCTATGAAGAGTTAACAGGATGGGTTTTTTTTAACAAAAGCATTCTTTTTGAGCCCAGTTCTTCACCTTGTTTTAACTCCTGTTCTTTCCCTTTATTTCTCAAGTGGGATTCCAAAGCACCACCCCCTCCTCCCAGATACAGATCCTCTTCTTATCCAGATTCTAATAAAAGGCATCTTCAGGCCATCACTGATGAATGGTTGTCACTGACTCTTGGCTTTTCATCTTCAAGCACACCTTCCCCTCCTCCTCCTCCTCCTCCTTTTCCTAAAAGCTTTCTTTCTGGTTTAGAGGAATTTGGCTCTCTACCTTTAACAGGTTTAGAGAAGACAGGGTGCCTCTCAGATAATGTCACTCCTCAAATAAAGCATTGCCATACTGTTCCAGTTCCCTCATCAAAGGCCTCCCATGTGTTCCCTGACTCTTCATCCAAGCCATTTTCTTCATCTACATGCATATCACCTCCTCCAGCAACCCATTTTCATGACCAAGGACATAAGTTTGAGTGGAACCATTTCAAAGGGATGAAAGAAATCCCCATCGTCAAGGAAAACAAAAAGCCCTCAAACCCTGCTCCAGAAATGCAAAACATAGCAGGCCATACTCTTGCCCTCTCCAAAGAAGACCTGTTATCCAAAACACTAAAGGAGGTTGGCAAACAGGAGGAACTCTGTGAGGAGCTGCTGTCAATCATGCAAGGGGAACAGTCAAAAAGTAAAGATTTAAGTTTCCACAGACGTGCCCCTGAGATGCCTGAAGAATTAGCAAGACTTCATATAGAGGAAGTGTCAGACCTTGACCATTTAGAGTCACCAATGGCAAATAAGAGACAGCCTATGATAACTTTTGAAGGCAACAGTTCAGCAGATACTAAAGAGGTATTTAAACATTGTACAATAATGTTTTATTGTACTTACATCATTAGTCCAGTTTTTGTTCAATGTATTTGTTTTGGCATGAGGCTTTCTACTATATCTTGCAATTTTCAAGAACAATTTAAGCATACTAATACACAACGTTCCTTCAATTCTTTTTGGAGATGAGTTGATTGCTTAACTTTTTGAAAAAAACTACTATACCTACTATTAACTCTGGCTTTTACCAGCAATGTAGAATCCTTGACTCTTTCCAAGGATGACAAGCAGCACCTAGAAGGATATTTGCATCAAACCAGAAGATACATTTAACATATTATTATGGGGGCATATATTACTTTCATTTTAAATAAAGAGCCCTATTTGAATAGGAATCATATCATATAGAAAAGTACATTTGCCACCTTGAGTTATTTATTAGAATTATAAAGATGGAATATACATAAATACAGAAAAAAATAACAAAAAGAAACATGCTGCACTAAGATCCAATTACGTGTTACATAAATTATGTAACATGTTGGTTCCTATTCTAAAATAGGCCCTCTTCCTGGCCAAAAACAGTTCAGTAACTCCCTTAAATGCCTCAATTAGTTTGCTGAGTAATGCATCATTCATATTATTCCAGGCTTATTAAGGATAATAAAGAAAATGCCCAATTCACTCTCCAGTTCCCAAGCCATGTTCATAATCCTGGAGTTTCTAGGCAAATTTAATCAGGATGCAGCAAAATGTTTGTCCGCAAACCCCTTTAGAAAGCGAGGAGAACATTTTAAATGATAAGAAATAGGAAATAGCCATGGTTTAATTAGGATTGCCATAACCAAGATTTCCCTGGACACATCTTTTATCCTAGCTATGCTCCATCAAGTTGGGAAGAAAATAGCTCCTTAAATGTTGAAAATCAAATGGTCATAACTTCTGCAGCTCAGCAATATCAAACAGCCTTTTGAACAGTCAGAAGAAAATGAGGATAATGCTCTCCAGATTTTAGTCTTTGGGAAAGTATGTTGACTCAGCCTGTCTCCTGATTGGTGCATGAAAGAAGGGGAGTGGCTCAAAGGCATAAAAACTTCCCGTTGCTGGCAGTAAATCTAAGGTTTTGTGTAGATGGGATATTGTTTTTCTTCTTTAAATAGTGTTTTGATTTCATAGAGTAGATATTGTGACTTGTGATTTTATACCACAAATACTGGTATAATTTGCAGTATCTAAACGAGGCTTTCTACTGAGACCTGCAGTAGCTCCTGTTTCATTTAGGAAATTATAAATTCTGCAGCTCTTTTTATCAGCCTATCTTTATGACTGAATACACTCCAGACCCTTGCTTGGAAAACAGAAACAAGAATAACACAGCTGTTCTTGATTAGAATTATTGGTCTTCCAGACTGTTTTTTTCATAAGCCATGATCATGCTTTTGTGGGCATGATATGATTATATTGCAGGTCTGGGGTTTCCTTTTTTAATGTAATTGCAAATATAGGCTGCATTGGGGTCTCTCGCAGGTTAGGTTGTTTTATATAGTAAATGTACTTTAACCTTATCTTACACTTCATTTATGATCTACTAAAATAGATTATATTTAAACACATTTGCAGAGCAGTCTGCTAATACTGGTCTACGACTGCAATAAACTGAACATAATAACCTCACTGAAGGTTGTATATAGGTATGAATTATTTCCAAAAAGTATCTTGCAGCATTGTATTCTCAAGAAAAGGGAGTGGGACCTGCTGTTCAAGAAAGTTTAGCCTGAGGATCCAATGTTTGTTCCAGAAATAATCTGACTCATACACTCTTATACTAAGTAAATCTTCTCAACATACATAGCAGATGGGCCAGGTAGGGCCACCTTTCCTTTTACTGATGGGGGTGTATATTCTTTGTTTTTTTATCTCTCCCTTTGTAATAGCTGTTCCACAGAATTACAATTGTCTCTCTTTAAATGTTTAAGCCAGCATCATTTCCCCATGAGATGAAAGCACGTTCTACCTCTCCTTCCTGCCTTGCTTCTAGTTCTCCATTTTATTCAGCCAAAGCATCTTTTCCTGAATCTCTTTCTACGTTTTCCAAGGCCACTGCTACCCATTCACCCCCTCTCCTTTCCAAACTCTCATACAGACAAGGGAAAAAATCATCCAAGTTAAAGGTAATAGTGCCTGCAAAGTATGGAAATACTGCACGTCATCTCAACTGCTTGACAAATGGAAAGCCTGGAGGTTAACCTATTATTAAAATTTGGATTTGCAACTAATACTTAATACTGCAAGCATGCAATCAAGTTTTAGATGAATGTTTAAAATATATTGAAATGATCTTGCACCAATCCAAGATTCACTAAAATAAGACGAACTATCACAGGTCCATTTTTGGGACACAGTATCTGGCAACATTTCCCAATTCTAATCAATTTCTTATCTCAATTTTATTAGTTTAAAATACACACACACACACAGACAGAATTTGCAGATGCTTTGTTTAAACTAAAATTGTATATTGGTGATTGCATGACCTGTTGAGATTCCATGTGCTAAATAAAAACAAAATTTAAAAACCTACAAAATTATCAACTTTCATGGCCAAGTCTGCTACCTAATAAGTCCCATTAATACTAGGTCTTCCAGTAATGCCAGTATAGACTTTGAAGGTATTGAAATTCTGAAGACATTATTAAGTACATTTTCTAAAATCCATTTCTTTCAATACTGTAGCAAGTGCATTTCTTATCATTGTTGAGATTTATCCCTCTAATTGGTCTTGCCATCAGAAATCAAGAATAAGTGAATTCAACATGCTAGCCTAGAAGCAATATCACAATATGCAATCCTTCCCACTGTCAGGAGCATATATCTCTTGAGATAAAAGGGAAAGCAATCTAGAAATCCCTCTAGGCACAAGCAAGTGGAAGAGACAATCAACTTTATTCCGGTTCATTCACCTTAGGAAAGAACTTCACATGGTCTCTTCTTGGATTAATGTTACTGTACTTCAGAGAGAGGGAGGGAGGGAGAAAGAACAGCATTCCTAGATTAATATATAGATGAAATGGACAAAAGAGTCAAAGTAGTAGAAGGTAGCAATAATAATCCACTATTTAAAACTGCCCATTGTAAAGTTAGAGACCAACTGTTAATGCAGCCAAAGTCCTGTTGTCAGCATTTAATAGCAATACATGCAAGAACTGTTGCAGTACCATTAAGAAAGAGCCAAACATATCCTTTTTTTAATACAAAACCAACTCATATTTTGAGTTTTCTTTCAGTGATCACAAAAATATGAAACCTGCAACACTCTTGGCTTTAACATTTCATAAGCTTGAAGGCTATATATGTATATATGTAAAGCACATACTTAGTTTTTTACTGATATCTTTCTTGTACATTTTTGGGGGGCTGTGAAATGTTAGCAGTAGGTTGGCCTTAGATTGTTTTCCAGTATCTGCTCAACTGATCAAATCTATCTGAAAGATTTGAAAAGCAATCCAATTATATAGGCTTTATGAATTTGGGATGCTAAGGATTTTCTTTTAAAAAGAAGATATAACCAGTCATTTTCAGTCATAGTGGGTTAACAGTTCTGCATGCCATTTGTGTGCTTTGGAAATGAAAAAAAAATGATTTCCCAGCTTGCAAGAATGAAACCGCAGGAGATTGATCATTTAGATGCTTAGATGAATTGACTAGTGTTTATGGTTTTTCTAGGCTGATTTAAAAAGAGAGATCTCTGTCATCGGCAAACCTCCTCGTAGCCCTGCTTTGACTAGGAGGTCTTATGGCATACCTGTCAGAGGGCACAGCTATTCACATAGGGTATGATACGACGTGGCCTGTTAGATATTATCAGTTTTCCCCCTAGCATAAAGTCTTTGGAACTGATTATGGGATCTTGAATTCACATGTTCAAATAATTCTAATAGTCTTTCTTTCTGTTGTTCTGTTGTTAAAAATGTTTTGAGTGGTAACAATGTGAAAGCCATGGTACTTTGTGCTTGACTTTCAAGTTCATTGATAAAATTTAAACCAAAGCTATTACATGTGTCCATTAAATCGTCCTTTTAAAAAGCACATCTTCAGCCACTCAAATTTGTATTTAACTTCTACCCTTGTAAATAACTCCTCTTGTTTCAAAGTGTTTTACTTATGATACTGTTAACAGTGGCTACATAGAAAGCCCCTTAGTACCTTTCATGGGTTCCATAAAGTTTAAGTTATTGTTCTTTGTTTTCAATTGCATGGTCCTGTTTTCAAAATATTTTGCTGCTATAGCAACATGTATTGTGTTGATTTGTTAACATGCTTTCTCATAGCATTGTTTTTTCTAGAGTTGTCATTTGCATTAGCTTTCCCATGCACATATGCTTAAAAACATATATCTTTCTCAAATTGCAGTTTTGTCTTATTAACATGACTGTCTGATTATAGATAAAAGTATGATTTACATATTTTAAATATAAAGCCAAATGTTAAATCTATCCCATTTTCTATTTTCTCTGGTAAGATTTGTTTGTTTGATTTTCATGGAAAGGGTTAGGAAGAAGAAAACAATGTTATTTATATAAAACAACATAACATGTTCAGTTATGTTCATGTCAACTCTGGTAATCAACAACTTGAATGGGTCATTGCCTATGAAGATTCTCAATCATCCAGGTCATGGTTGTCCTAAAGGTGCTTTTCAAAAGACAATTGGACTTTCTTGCTTTTTTTCTTTGAAGACGTTTCCCTTTTCATTCAAGATACTTTTTCAGAATTGTTCTGAAGAAGTTTCTTGGATGAGAAGAAACTTTGGGACCTGAATGGGTCATAGTGGCTCAAATTTATAAATGAATTCCAGATTGAGGCTGATTGAAGTGAATGGATTTTAAAAATTGCTGAGCGTTATAACAATATCCAACTAAATGGATATACAGATACATACACATCTGTAAAGCTAATATTAAGTAGGGCTTCCTCATCAACTTCATCTGGTATGAAGGCTTAAGTCTTTTTAATTATATTCATAGCTATTAACCATTGTTGATTACTTGTTGTTTTCTGCTTTTGACTACTCCATTGCACTTTTGATAGAACAATTCTTGAACGTTGATTAAATTCTGTAACTGATGCAACCTAATGTCTGTCGATTATATATCTGGGCTCCAATAGTTGCACTACCTTCTTTGCAGCTTTCTGGGAAACTAACCATCAGAATAAATATGAAAAACATTCTGAAGAGCTTGGGTCAGATATAATAAAATATCCTTTATTCTCCGAGTCATCATCATAGAACAGGGGTCCCCAAACTTGGCAACTTTAAGACTTGTGGACTTCAAATCTTAAAGTTGCCAAGTTTGGAGATCTCTGTCATAGAACTAGGCACCACAGCATTCATCTGGGGACAGTCAGTAGCATTGACGGGGAAGTGTCAGGACCTTTCTTATTAAAATATTTTAGGGGCTTTAAATAATACTTAGTAGTCACAGAAGTATTCTCATTTACTCTATTACGATTAAACATAATTCATCTGAGCATCTTCTAAAATAAATATATATGTTAGCATGTAACTAAACGGCTTAGATATCCATGAAACATAAATAAATCTAACCTGTTTTAACTTTCACGAGATTACTTTTAGTTCTCTCATGTAAACAGTCACAAGAAAAGGCATAGCTGCTGTAAGAGGGTCTATATTCACACTCCTGCGCATTCCAAAGCACATTTTGGAATGCAAATCTATAGTGCTACAACATAGTCAAAAGAATCAGTATTTTAGCCATGAAATATAGGCACAAGACAGTTCCATGCATGTACTAATTTTTTAAAAAATGTAATGCATTTTTATAAACATCCTCTGATTGTTAACTTATTTTCAAGCTTGTTTGACTGACTTACTTGTTTGCATTAATATTTGCATATGGAGAATGTTTTAACGTATGTGTTAAATTCTTAGGCTCTAGCATGCACCTAGTGGCAAATGCATAAGACTTAGATTCAGGAATCCTTAAAGGAATCCTTCCAAAATCAATGGAGTTTGAGTTACTTCTGATGTCTGCAATCTCTGAACTCATGCAATAACATTGCATGCATTTTCCATTCAAGAAATGTTGAAGCAACATTTAAACTGGTTTCTAATTTCTCCAGATATCTGCTAATAGAAAAATATTCTAGAATAACTGCTGCATTCTTTTTCTCTCTGGCAACATATTTTCTAATTATATTTTAAAAAGTAAAATTAAAGAATTGTTTTCATGCATTTTTATTGTAGTTTATATAATGGAACAAATCAAAACTGTTGGCTTTTGTAAAACAACTTTCAGTTAATGTATGAACATATTATTGAGTGGAAATCAGAGGAGATCACAATGTTCTCTGATAAATCTGGATTAACGTATTTGGGAAGAATCTAGTTTTTCTCTAAGCATTCCTTTTTTTCCAAATGAAAACAATGTTGAAAGAGTAGCTAAATTGTGTCCTATAGCAGTAAGCAGAAGTTTGAATTAATTTTAGAAATTGCACAATCCGTGTCTGGATAGTTGATTAGATACAGAAAATAGTGATTCACAACTTGACTCAATAATTTATTCATACTTCGAATAACCACCAAGAATATAGTATATGGTTTAGTTCTATATTTGTCTACTTGAGAGCTTGAAGATGTGTGGACTTCAACTCCCATGCTGGCTGGGGAATTCTGGGAGTTGAAATCCACATATCTTCAACACTGATTAAGTTCATAATTCTGATTGTGTCAAAATGGTTTTGGAAATAATTTGTAGGGTTGACACTTATATAACCTTAATTTATAATAAAACTTCAGAGAGGGCGTCTAAATATATATCAAGGGCTATTCTCTTAAATAATAGATAGAGCAGGAGAAATAAATGGATCCTAAAATATAAATTCACATTTGTATTTGTCAAATTTCCACCTTTATCTTAAATGTTATATATATCCTTAACTGAACTTTTGAGTAATAAGGTCCATTTTCTATAACTTTTCAAGGAATGTGTTGTCCCTTGATTAAGGACTAAATGGGTAGAACCTACTCGCATATATTTTTGATAAACTGCTGTTGTTCTTTTGTTCTCGCCTCCTTTTAAGGCATCCTTAAGCAAATACACAAAACCTCTCAAGGCCAGCCAGCAAAATCTCACTAAGAGGACATCTCTCTAAGAATGTTATCCTCCTGACCAGTCATCAGGAATAGTTGCTCCTTGATGAAAAGCATTTGAATTGCAGCGAAGCTGGTTTTTTTCCTGCTATTTGCTTATTTAATGCTGTTGTAATCTCTGTGACACTAATGGTGTTTCAAAACACTGAAGCTAAAACTTATCTGCTTTCATTGGCATGGCAAGATTTGGGCTGAAAAGGATAAAGAGGCTTGCACAATGGAAAAGTCCTTAGAGAAATGGCTTCTTCTTTATCCCCAGCTTTTAACCAGATTTTTTTTCTTAATAAGACCAAATAAAATATGGCTCTATGCTAAAATAGGCCGGTACACAGGGGTGGGATTCTACCAGTTCGCACCTATTCACTAGAACCGGTTAACATTCTAAGCAGTTCGGAGAACCGGTTGTTAGAAGAAATTACTGGCCTAATCCTGTAAGGAAGGCAGGAAGGAAACATTCTGGTGTTGCTTACAGAAACTGCCTCTCCGTTAACCTTATTACGTTCTTGGCAGGACTAGACTTCCTGTCTCAGGAAGTTATTTTTCCCTCCTTTGCTGGTTCTTTGCTTCTGTGGAGTGACCATTCAAAGTTACAATGGCACTGAAAAAAGTGACTTATGACCATTTTTCACACTTACGACTGTTGCAGCATCCCCACAGTCATGAGGGGCCAGGCAAGGAGATGCGTTCCTCAATGTGAGTGATACCACGCCCAGCCAATAACATGACCACCAAGCCACGCCCACCACCTAAGCCATGCCCACAGAACTGATTGTTAAAAAATTTGAATTCCACCTCTGCCTGTACAATACATGTTTCCCCCACATAGGTGTGTATATTACAAACTATATCTTACCTACTGCTGAGAAAACCTGTTTTTAATGCAGCCCCTAAATCAGGGAATGTATTGAAGCACATAGTGAGCTGACTATTATGGAAGACTGTACTAAATTAATTGATTACAGTGTATACTCTTATTACATTTCAACTCATTTCATTTCAGCCACAGCGCCCTGTGTTTGCTCATGACAGTGGGGGGGAACCGTAAGTATTTTCATCTACTCAAGTTCTTCTTTAAATAACTATTAAATTTCTAACTGGGCAAAGGGGAGAAATAATCATCCTAGAAACCATGTATCATCCCAAGCTTACTATGGACACAATAGAAAAGGATAAGGAAATGGGGTTGAACTAAACTAAGGTCTTGTGTGCCCCTTTCTCTTACCATAATGCATACATGCACCCATATGCCATATTTCCATCCATTTACAATGTTTTGAACAGTTTGAGCTCTTATAAAATCCAAACATAGGAATGTTTAAACTTCATCAATTGGGCACAGAGCATTCCAGAAACCTCAAGAATATTATATTTCACCTTCAACCTAACCATATAAAAACTTCCAAAAAATTTTTTTAAACTGTCCAAAAACTAGTATTCTGGACACAACCAAACTGCTTGGGACAGGACTATTTTCAGCTTATCTAAAATTGCTTCCATCCAAAGTACTTCCAGAAACTGTTGGTCCACCTTGTAGTCTGAAGAGGGAATGAAAAGTCCTACAGATCTCCAGGACAGTCATTCTTCTCAAACTGGCGAATTTTGCACAATTCTACCCAAAGGGAAGAGATCATAAGCCAAATCATAAAAGGTTTAAAATTTCAGTAGGTGCCAAAGATTATGGTAGCCTTGAACTAAAGAATAGAATAATAATAAGAGTTGGAAGGGACCTCAGAGGTCTTCTCTCACCCCACCCTACAACCATTTCAGACAGGTGGTCCAGTCTCTTCTGAAAGAGTGATGGAGCACCCACAACTTCTGGTGGCAAGTTGTTCCACTGGTTAATTGTCCTCACTGTTAGGAAGTTTCTCCTTAATTCCAGATTGCTTCTCTCCTTGATTAGTTTCCATCCATTATTTCTTGTCTTACCTTCATGGCTTTGGAGAATAGGTTGACTCTGTCTAGAGATAATGAAGGTAGCATGCTATGCTAAGGAATCAAATACAGAGACATTCACAGAGATTTGTCAAACTGCCTTGCAATATGATTACCTGAAAATTGAGTATGTATTATTCTAAAAGGAGAAACCAAAGCTGAACCAAGCAAATAATTACAGTCATCAGAAAGTGGGCCATAACTCAATCCAAGAATTTTCAACAAGCTCCTTAAAAAATAAGCCTGGGTAGATATCTAGACTGGAGATTGGTGGGGAGCTAAAAGGGGGGGAAAGTAGCCTTTTAAAATCCTGACTTTAGCCACTTTTGAAATCCATGTAATGCTTGATGTCAGGCTAAAGGAATTTGTACACCATTGTTCCTAGAACAGTTAGGAAAGTTCCATCTGCTTATCTTTACATAATAGTTCTGTATTTGGATCTCCTTACAGCTATAACGTGTCTCCATTATAGCAGGATAGAAGTAATAGGATCTGGGAAGTAAGCAAATTAATCGTCCCATTTAATAACTCTGTCGATTTTATCACACAAGACAAACTTATCAGCAGTTCCCAGTATTGAAATGGGACTCACTGCATTAAAATAGGAGTTCTCCTTTTATCAAAACCCACAACTATAATAGGAAGATTCCAGGACATATTGCAATAAAGTGTCCTGATTGCATCAGTTGCTCAGTAAGGCTGAGTTGATGTGAATGTTGCAACTGTATTCTTGTCTGGAAGAACCTTGGGTTGAAAGTAGTTTGTAATTTTTTGTATGTAATTTTTTGTTCTGGAGTGAGACTTGGAACACCCACATAAATAATTATTAGCAAAGGCCACTTTTGCAATGTATTGCGGAGAAGCAATATTTAATACTCCCAGTTGATACACTGGACAGAATGTTTGGAATAAGAGAAGTATAGGTATTAAACCTTTAGAATATAATATCTGTATGTAGACATTACCGAGGTAGATTATTCTATTCTATTTTAAAATGAAAGCGTCTTTTGCCCTGAACTCAAGTGCTGGTGACTCATTCAGAACAAGTTCCAAATTTCCCAATTCATTATATCGTGAACAAACAGAAAGAGTAATCAGCTGCTACAACAAATAAAGTATATCTGTTTGTAACTAAGTAGATTCCTTATTGACCAAAGGTCATAACCCTCCACAACATCCTGTCACAAAGCCCTCAGGACTTTGTACAATATGATTTGTTAGGAAGTAGGGAAATGGGTCTCTTCACAATTATATTCATTTTTTTCCCCTTCTCGGTGGTGGCAGAAACTGAAAAATGAAAGTTTTTAAATTGGTATTCTTTGTTGTTTTTATTTTATTTATATCCTGTCCAATCTCTAGGAACTCAAATTTGGAGAATATTTTTTCCTTTCTCTATTTTATCCTCAAGTTAGGCTAAGAGGTCATATAATGCCATTAAGCAAGAACTTTTATTTAGGAACTAGCAATGCAATCCTTTGTTTCCACCCTTCCAACCCTTCCAAAAAAGAGTTATTTCCAAGTGAGCAGATATACAATTGCGCTGTGAACTTGGAGATTTTTCCAGAGGCAGTGAATGGCAGTGAATTGGCAGATGCTTCTTTATACTATATACAATTGGGCATTGCATAACACAATACAACTTTTAAATATTCATATCTGGAACATAATACATAGAATATAGAACTGATAAACCATATTTTTGTGACACTGTATAATTGACAATGTATTGCAGACTTTATTGTCAGTCTATCTCTTAAGGAAGCCATGAATCCAAGTTTTAACAATTGTCAATTGTACTTATTTTGAATATATTTTGAAAAATTTTTAATCCACTTATTTGTATGGAATGTCATATACCTAATTAGATTTTTAAAAAAACCTAAATAATTACAAAAAGCCTTAACATGATAAATTTTTAACTTGATTTTTATTTAGCAAATGCTGTTACCTAACAAAGAACAAATAAAATTTACTTCTAGAGTACACGCCACCATTAAATAAAGAAGACTTTTTAAATAGAAAGATAACAATACAACGGCATATCATTCCCAAGAGTAACATGGCTATAGACTGCTGGCAAATTTATGGTGAAAGGGAATTGTTTAACATTCTTCAGGAAAAGCATTTCCAAAAATACATATAAAAAATAACAGCATAAAAGTACATATATAAATTACTGACCATGAAATTCAAAACTGGAGAAGATATATTAAACTACATGTTCCACGATGCTGGGCTACTTGTTTATGACAGCAAGCATTCAAGACCTCCTGTGGGGATCTTAGATTGCTTGCTCCTGGAGCACAGATAAACTTCATAGGGCAGTGGTGGCTAACCTTTTGGGGCTCCTGTGGCAAAAATTGTGCGCACACTGGCACGCTCATGTGCCAGCACCCAGAAGGCAATGCATGCCCCCTACGCATGCGTGTCCAATACCCACCCACCCACACTGCCCCCTTATCTGCATTGCACCTCACAGCTGATTTTCGGCCAGTTTGAAAAACAGGAAGTGACAAAACAGGGCTGATTTTTGGCCTGCAAAGCCTGCAGAAGCCTTCCTCAAGCCTTTGGGGGGGGGGCAGAAAAGGCCTCAAACTGGCCCAAAATCAGCTGTGAGATGCGCACATGCGCAGTGAGGTAAGTTTGCCTGCAGCTTGCATGCTGGCACAAATGGCTCTGCGTGCCACCTGTAGCACGCGTGCCATAGGTTTGCCATAACGGGTATAGGGTTTCATGCTTAAGCAAAGGGTTGGACTAGAAGACCTCCAAGGTCTCTTCCAACTCTATTATTCTGTAACCCTGAAACGAATGAGCTAAATAGGTAGGAATAAAGCTGACATATTTCCTCATTACCAAATAACACACTTTAAATTCTATCAGGAAATACAGTATCTTCATGGGAGATACTCTGTCTTGTTACTGTATTTTAAAAAGCAATAAAATAATCATTTGCAAAGAAAGAGGAGTAATCAGAAGACGAACAGAACTAATGTAATTGAATCATTACCATTGAGATCTTTTTAGTATATTTCCCAAGTACTTAGGATTGTGTCATAATTCTAACGAAGCTGTAGCCCAGGGGTGTCAAACTTGCATCGTATTGGCATTGTCACGTGACGTATTACAACTTTTTTCCTCTTCACTAAACTGGGCGTGGGCATGGCCAGTGTGTGACGTATCCAGCCCGCGGGCTGGGAGTTTGACAGCTGTAGCCCTTCAAAGGTTCAGGTATTGTGAAATGCAGCTCCCGGCATCCCTCACCATAAGCAGTGTTAGCTGGAGCTGCTGGAAATTGTAAAGGAAGTCAGCATGCAATGCCACCCTACTGGGAAGGGTGGTAGTACTGCAAGGTTGAGAGACTGTAAGATTACCCATGGGAATATGAAGATCTGCACTAAATTGAACAACTATATAGTGCGTATTATGTTCCACATTTAGGGAAGCACTTTTGAGATTTCCTAGGCTATCTTCCCATTTAGCTCATAGGACTGAAATTTATCTTCCCACTCTTCCATACTGAGATGTGAAGCATTCCAAATTTCAGTTCTCCACACAGCTACAATGTGATCCAAGGAAGATGTGACTTCTTAAATAAATTGTAGACAAGTCCTATGATCATGCTCCTGCATGCTTCAAACCAGCTTTTGGAAACTGAATCCAAAGCGCTGCCCAAACATACAATTTTTTTAAAAAATGGTTTAAAATGTATCTTTTGTACACTTAAATGTTGTATGCTTTGCTAGTGTGTCAAATAGTTAAGTACAATTGTAACTACACATATTTGGATATACAGCCCACTTATTTGAACTAAAATAAAAATATTCTGCTCCAATAGTTCATGCTTTACTCAATACAGGTCTTTCTATATATCGCTGATTTCAGTTTTAGCCTGATTTATTTTTATCTTCAAAGAAATGTTTAGCAACCTCTTTAGCATAGTGAAAATGCAAGATGTTTTTTTTTCTTTAAATGCATCCATTTGTCCTGTTTAAGGTTTCAGGTTCTGTATAACTATACTCCTAGGAACGAAGATGAATTGGAGCTGAGAGAGGGAGATGTCATTGATGTGATGGAAAAGTGTGATGATGGATGGTTTGTGGGTATGTTTTCCATAATTTTAGTAGTGCCTTTAGTAGGATATATATAAGTAACATTTGGCTTTCCTAGCCTGATGCTCTCAATCTGAATTACCCCTGCAGAATTTCTACCCAACAGGGTATTTAAGAGGTACCATATTAGGGAACCCTCTGGTTTATTACAACTGGCAAATTTTTATTCAGAATTATTGCATGTATTGTGTCTAGTTTGCCAGCCCCTAGAAAACATTCTTCAGATGTTCCCCAAAATCTTGTGTCATATGCCATTGATTCTTTCACATGTAATATATTCGCCCCTACCTTGCTATTCTGCAATGTATTTGCAGCAAGGTTTCCAGATCTTGTTGCAAATATTAAGGTTTCTATATCAGAGCAAATCTTTTTCTTTTGGTGCACTCCCTAAATCAAACATCATTGTATCATCTTTCATACCCATTTGGATCTACACTCTAATACTAGAGAATATCCAGCAATAAATGATGTTTGTGGTGCACAGTTCTAAGCATGAGGAACTGATTAGCAAAGAATCCATACTGCATGAGATCTGCCTATATTGTGGTATGTTCCTTTTTATGTGTGAGCAATCTCCTGAACTATAAAGGTAACCATATTATGATACTTGCAAATGTTTGCCATCACCATGTCCTACACCTTGACATAGTAAATTTCTCCATTAAAATTGATGGAAAAAGTATCATTGTCACATGATATACTCATAAGTTAAGAGAACTTTCTCATACTAAAGGGTGATTAGGGACTCCCTTTTTCCTATAGAATCTGATGTGCAAAATGCCTGCATTAAAAAAACCCGGCTATGTTGGAATGAAAACACTTTATAGAGCATTCATTTGATATATTGTTTTATTTGCAAGTGAATGATAGATTCAATATTTATAGAAGCCTAATATTTGACATTGTAATTTGACTGCTACTTCCTTATAAGCCCCTATTCAAAAAACACTACATAATTAAGAAGTTTTCTTTGGTATTATAACTGCTAAACAGACAAGATACATTTTAATGTTTAACTTTGATTTGTCTTTTCAGCAGTAGGAGTTACTCAGTAAAATCTATTATGATATATTACATTATCTACTATGATTACATATTTTATAGTTACAGTATTATAACTTATGGCTATATAATGCAATAGTCTGTATTTTCCTATTGGGGTGGCATTAAATATATTCATGAACAATCCTAAAATGAAATGTAAAGCCTGTCTTTAGAGCATGAATATGTCATTCTTGCTGCCATGTTTCATTTATTACTTCTACTTTCAGGAACATCCAGAAGAACAAAATTTTTTGGTACTTTCCCTGGAAACTATGTCAAGAGGCTGTGAAATGATTGTTTGATTTTGTTCCTTTCTTATTTATGCTGCATCTCTGCCACACATCTGCATAAAAAGTGCTAGAAAACATCCTCCACCAGCCGTCAGTTTTCCTGCTTTGCAAATCCAGGTAGAAATCATGCTGCTCATCTTCACCATCTTCATCCCACCTGCCAGCCAACAGTATTATTCAACAGCTAAAATGGAATCCCTGAGCTTTTGTGAAACAAGAGGAATTAGTTCTATGCAAAATACATCTTTTTATGCCTTTAATTTTTGTCTGGCAATGCCAATTTGGAAAGTGCATATAAAAAGCTTAATGAAAGAAATAGCATGGCACTTCAAAACGTTACCAATTATTTGGGAGAAATTGCAATAGTATACTTATGAAAAAAATATCTATTATCACCTTATATAGAACAGATTGCAATTTACTACATTTTAATGGGTTTCCTTTTTTTTTGAGTTATCACGTTTGTAGCTCAGCAAATGTATGCTGCTATCAGTTTGCCATGTCACAAGTTTGCCTCTTCTTTTACCAATTTGCAAGATACAACTAGTAGTATAAACAGATTTTTTTTTCCAAATGTATATTGCAATATCTGCAAAATGCCTGTAAAAATTTAAGCAGAAACAATCTAAAGGAGTATTGATACTAGAATACTTCATAAGCCATGATTTCCAGTTGTAACTCATAATACATTTTATTAAAATTGAGCCAATAAGGTCATAAATTGGTTAAAATGTTTTTTTTTTCAAAACAGTAAGAGCTTTAGACATGAACTAGTAAGGACAGAAGCATGAGTCAGATTTCCTGCACCTGCATATATTAATATATAAAGTACAAAAACTTGCATCTCTTTGTAGGAAGAATCAGAAGCTCCCAACACAGTGATGTCTCAATAGGGAAAATGTGTTATTGATATGTGCAAATACAGGGAACTTGGGTTGGTTGTACTTTCTATGTTTTAGGAGTTAATGTCTTAAATTAAGTGGAGAGACGTGTGTGCATATCATCCTACAGGATGAAATGGATGATTCTAATGTAGTTACAACATACATATCTATCTAGAGGAAAAGAGGGAGCACTATCATATGTGTAAGTACAGTAGGCCTGTATCCTGTACTTACACCTATTTTTAACTCCTAGAACTCATAGAAAGGAAATTATGTCTGCTATTTGACATTAGGAAAGTTCAGAAATACTGGAAAATCATGAATCATTATGAAGCAAACTAACAATGAATATCTGCTTTATAAAAATGTGTTGAAGTGCAATAGAGTATGTAAAGTCTAATTCATTTATTACATGAAAATTCATTAATGAAAGAGCAATGTTAATATTCTGTTTGATTGTAGCACAGTCACAGTAGAGTTGGGGAAATCTACACAAAGTATTATATGATGCTATTTTTTGGCTAGTTGACCGGAGCTGTATTTTCTTTCTAGCAACATAGCATTAAAACAAGGACGTAAAAAGGAAAATTAGTACACGTGGATGGAGTTTCATTTTTGGAACAGTATAAAATATTGAAGGCAATATTTGTGTGTGTGTGTGTGTGTGTGTGCAAATATAGATAGCAGTAGCAGGTGATAAAAACACAGGACTTAACCTATCTATGATGTTATGTAAAGCAGTCCAGGTTTGGTTTTGCTGGCACCTTACAGAAGGCAAAACTTAACATCTTTTACTGCATTTCATTGTCGTAAAGGACAGATCTCATAAATTTGTAGGCTTGTAGCATTTGTACATATATTTCCTCTTTTTTGTACAGAGCCATTTTATTGTTGATTTTTTTTAAGGGAAAAAAAATCATGTTAATCAACTCATCCCTTTTCCACCAATAAAATCACCTTATTTTGTTAGTTTCTCCTCCAAAGTATAAGCACACTTGAATAGTGCATTTCTGCTAAATTAGCAACTGAAGTAAAAGTTTTATGAATAATATTATGGTTTACCAGCCAAATTTTTAAAGTGTATATATATATATGTTTAATATGGAGAAATATCAATAGGATGGCAAAAGAAACATCTTTGTGCTGCATACCTGTATTATTGCAACTTTCATGGCAAAAGCTTGATACTTCCAAGGCTTTTTACTATAAACTAAATGTGCATGCAGCTTTGCTGTGAAATCAGTAATGATTTTGATGCCATTTATGATGGAAGACTTGTCTATCACTGGTGGTATTTTAAAAAATGCACTGTTTCTATCCTGTATCTGATTTTAATAGAATATGTTTTTCATACCTGTTTTCAGGTAATTGACTCTGAATTCTTACTTGCAAAGGATCTCTGTGTTTCTTTTTCCTTGAAGAGACTTCTAATAAAAATGGCTTGAAGTACATGAGTGCATCTTGTTCATGATCAAATGGTAGAGCATTGCCCATTAAAATGTAATCAAGTGTGGTTTGAAATGTTGAACATAATCATTATTCCAAAAATTAGCAAGGGAAAATTGGAAAGTAGAGATGTTTTATGAAGCCAATGAAATTTCTAAGTACTTTGTAACTCGGATACATATGCACACTTATAATAGCACAAGAGTTTTTGGATTGTTGGACAATAACATAAATTCCAGAAATTCCAGAAAATAGCATATGCTATTTATGAAAATGTATTAACAATAGAAGACAATTATAGCAACATTCCCATATAATCAGGAAAAATGGCTGGCCACTGTTACATATTTATTGATGTATTTTCATTCATTCACATATACTTTAAAAAAAAAACATAATGCCGGGCTACATATTTAGCAAGATAGTTCAGTCTGCAGGAAGCCAGTTTTTGGTAATTTCCAGCCCCTGCCTGCCCTAGTTTTTATAACCAGTTCTAAACAAAATATTTATAGCAAATTATAGCAAATCCCACACAGAAAAGGACCGTGGCTGTTGTTCTCCTATATTACAATCAGGGGTGGGATTCTACCGCTTTGGCCTGGCTCTGTGGAATCGGTAGCTCTGAAGAGCAGCAGACACCAAACCGGTTCTGTGTCTGCTGCTGTTTGGCCCACCCACCTGCCTGGGCTCTTACCTGACCTTTATTTCCTACTTTTTCAACCTCAGCTGCTTTGCGTGGCACAGCTGGGGCTGAAAATCAGTAAAAAAAAAAGGCTTTTTTCAAATGCTGCGCAGCCACGCGCAGTGCTTATCAGCTGTCTGGGAGGCACAGCTTTCATCGCATTACATGTGCACGCATGTAAAATGTGCACAAAATGTAAGTACCAAACCAGTAGTAACACCGGTTGAATCCCACCCCGATTACAATGCATATGCATGTCTGGTTTTAATAGTGAGACAACGTACTCTAACATTCTGGTACTATTTCAATTTTGTTGATGGTTTTGTTCTTAAGTAAAACCATTGTTCATTCTAGATAGTATTCTATGTTCCAATTTGGGGGGAAAAACAATCTGGCCTTAACATGGCTTCACACCAAACACCTCACTCAACATGGCTTGCCTTAAGTAAAAGCACTGAAGAACTGATCAGGACAAAATATAAGCGAGTGCTGTTTTCAAAAGATTCCTCCATTATTTAGGCTACTATAGAATCAAAGCTAAGCTCTGTGTACAAGCTGGATTCGGTATGCACAGAATAGCCCTTCTCAAATTAGGAATGTAGTCAAGACCTAATTTCATAATTTCCTCTTAAAGCTGTATTCTACTTGTTTTTTTAAGAAAATACACCTGGAATTCCACAGTATGGGAATTAAATAAATTCTCATTGCCACTATCAACTTTTAAGATCTAAAGCAGAATTTTAAATACTCACTGCTTTATAATGGTTAATCATCAAATAAGACAAAGTCCTCCAATGGAGTACCACAAGGACCAACCCCAGGACCTCTACAATATTTTTATCAAATTCTTGGATGAAGAGATGGAAGCAATGTTTATCCAACTTGCAGGTGAGATAAAGTTGGGTGGGATAGCAATATCTAGGAAGACAGATGGAAAAACAAATCAGATTTTGAGAAGTTAGAGAAATTAAAAGTAACATGTAAATTGCAGGTAAATTGCAGCTATAAAGGTAGGTAAATTGCAGCTATAAAGTTCTTCATCTGGAGAACAAAAATATGCAAATATAAGGTGCTGGATAGCTGGCTTGGCAACAATATTTATAGATAAAGGAGTTGGGTAATCTTGGGTTGCAAATTGACTATGAGCTAGCAGTGTGCAAGGAAGACAACTGCACTTTTAGATTGCCACAACAGACATATAATTTCCCATGTACACTGGTCAAACATAATGTTGAGCAGTGGGTAGGTCCACAGCAGTTGGGAAATAGACATATGAACCTGTCCAGTACCACAGTTTTAAAAATGGAATCAGAAGAAATCGAAACATGTTCAGAACATGGCAACAAGGATGATAAAAGAGGTAGAAGTGAATTTCTACGAAGAGAGATTGAGGAAATTGAGTAATTTTGGTCTTGAGAAAATTAGGGGAGATATGAGAGTCCTGAAAGGATACCTCACAGAAGATCATGACTTGCAGTCTCATACAGGACACAGAATCATGGCTTTCAATTGTAGAAATGAAGATTCCTCTTGAATCCTTCCTCACCATATTTTGACAGTAGCACTTCCATGGGGAAATGGTAAGCTTCTGTTTATGAAATACTTGGAGATTATGATAGCCATTTGCACAGGATGCTTCAATTTGATTTCTTGTAATCTTCAGGAGCTTAGATTTAAAGACCCTCTCAAACACTATGATTCTTTACCCTTCCTGTTAAAATCCAGCTGTTAAGCAATCGACATTGTGCCTTTCTCCTGTCAGTAGAAATACATCCTTCCTACCATGCTGAGCTTAATCCTTCACCAAAGGAAGTAAGACCATATCTTTTCAAGTAGGTGTTTTAAATTATTGTTTCAGAATTATTTTACTATTTGGGATCTATTAGGTTATGAATTAGGTTTTAATCCTGTGGGTTTTCGCATTTGTATATTACATATTCCTCAAAAATATAAAGCAAGTAAAATAAAATTATTTTTCTTCTGGTGGTTAATACACTTGAAGAGTTGCTTTGTTCTGGTACTTTTGGCCTGGAAGTAGAATTTAAGGGAAAAGAACAGCAGTTTTCAAAGTTTAGGATGTAATCATTTGGAAAATATGTGCTCATGGTTCAAAGTCACAATCAAGTAATAGATTTCCATCTGTATTTATAACAAAGGGCTTCAGCCATTAAAATTGCCCAAGTCCCCTTCAATGCTAGACAATGAAGAAATTAACAGTGGGAAATTAACTATCAGGATGGCTTTATGCATAATTCAGCATAAACTGGCCTATTTCATATTACCTGAAATGAAATAGTTAAAGATAGAAAACCCATTACACAAGTTGCTTTCTGTCAGGCTATTTTTAACTCCCTTTGAGGTGCTGCAGATATGTAGTAGAGCTGCCTTGGAATTAAATAACATACAAAAGCATGAGATAAAAAGAGAAAAATGTCTAGCTACTGAAATGTACTTTGGGTAATTTTTATCTCCTGAATAGTGTATAAAATCTGTATAATATTCATGTGCATTGTGCCTCTAAGTGATGCCTATTTTAGTCTATTTAACTGTACCTCATAAAACAAAAAATATTTCCAGGACCTGAAAACTGGCTATCAATTGCATGCCTCAAATACACGGGAAGCAATACTATTGAAATGGTTTCAGAGCCTCTCCAGTTAAGAACTGTTTCAAGTTTAGGCAGAGAGAGTAAAAGTGTTATTTATTCTTTAGATAAAAAACATTTTTGTTTATATGTGAAAAGCAGAATTATACTTCAGACTAATCGGTAACCTGAGCCAGTTGCATTTTTAAAAAGCACAAGGTAAGAGAAATCCTAAATGAAGGCCACAACATTAAGCTTAAAGTTCCACCTGTTTGTATGTGCATTGCAGCTGCCATTTGACTTTTTAAACTATATCCTATGGATACCACAGAGTATAATATTCAAATGTGTACACACACATACACCAACTTAGTATCAGTCATATGTACAACAGAATAACAAAACTGGAAGGGACCTTGATGGTCTTCTAGTCCAACCCCTGCTCAAGCAGGAAACTATATCATTTCAGGCAAATGGTTGTCCAGTCTCTTTTTAAAAACCTTCAATATTGGAGCACCCACAGCTTCTAGAGGCAAGTTGTTCCACTGATCAATTTTTCTATCAGTAAATTTCTCCTTAGTTCTAGTTTGGCCCTCTCCAGTGAGATGAGATCTTGTTTTATTTCTTAAATAAATCCTAATTTTCTTTTCAGCAACTAGTTATCACTTGCCGGCATAATATGTGACCGGATCAGAGGTGGTATTCAGCAGGTTCTGGCCAGTTCTGGAGAACCGGTAGTGGAAATTTTGAGTAGTTTGAAAAACCGGCAAAGACCACCTGTGACTGCCCCCCCCCATCTATTCTCTGCCTCCCGAGTCCCAGCTGATAGGCTGGGTCTTCTTTTGTTTCCCTGCACAGGAGAACGGAGCTGGAAAGCAGGTTAGTGGGGTGTGGAGAGAATGGGATTTTGCAATAACCTTCCCCCAGGAGTGGAGAGGGAATGGGGATTTTGCAGTATCCTTCCCCTGCCACGCCCGCCAAGCTACGCCCACAGAACCGTAGTTAAAAAAAATTGAATCCCATCTCTGGATTGGATACTTGATAACCTTTTTTTAAAAAGTTTTATATAAAAACATATCAGATGTAATTGAATGTAGTGAGGAAGTGGATTCCCAGGAAGGAAGGAGTACACTGAAGAGGAGTAAGAGACAACTCAATCAAAGAAATACTATCAGTTGTGAGAATTCACAGTCTATATGTAAATGTAGATAGCAGAGTGCTCAGTCTGTCAAGATTTTTTTCCATAGATGTGAAACAATAAAGAACTCCACTTGAAAGAATCACCACATCTTTCTTGATTTCGGTTCTGACATTAGATGAAACGTGAGCTGCAATGATCAGTCTAGAGCAGTTTTAAAATATTAAGAGGATATGTCTTCTGTGAGTGATATTAAAAGTCCCCATGGGAAAGCAAAACCTTTTACAACGAGATGCCATAACTCAAGAGCCCTTCCACTTGTTGCCTCTTTTTTGTCCTCAGGAGCTCCCAGTGGAGAACCAATGAAAATGAGGAAGATGCTTTCATGTATAGGCATCTTCATGTACAGTTGGAGCAGCTTCTCACAAATGACTGTCTTTGGGGATGCTGGTCTATAATCATAATAAAGATTGAATTGATTGAGTACCCTCCCACTCTGAGGATAGCAATGCCTAAGAATTGTCTAACTAGCCCTAAAGTTAAAGCAATTCTTACAGTCCTCAGACACAAAGGAAGCATTAAAATCAAGCTTCAGCATTTGAA